TGATCAGTTTTTCCTGTGTTCCTGTGTTCTTTCCTGTATGTATCCGCGTTGCACCCTTCCCCCCCTCCCTGGGTGAACCTCCACTAATGCAGATGAGTTCGTTAACTCTTTGATTTCATCCCTCTCATTACCCCCCTCCCCCCAACACACACACAATGGTACCACGCAGCTACAGCTGGCACTGAACCGGCGCTGGCGCTGCCGGTGGCTTTCAAGCCGTCCGACCCTGCAGACTACCTCGACTGGCTGTCGTGCTATATCAGAGGCCTTACACCGATACTGGCGGCAGCGATGCTGTCGACGTCGGTTGGGTCAGCAGCCGTACAAAAGTACGACCGCGACTCAGATGCGGCGTTGTGGTATATCCTGACATCCCGGGGCATGTCAGCGAAGGCGGTGAGCAGTTTCACCTCTGCATGGGAAAAGTCCGCGAGTCGTGGTGTGGGTCACATGCAGACCGAGTACCGGTGTATTCGCCACAAGCACGAGGGCTGCTACGTGTATGGACAGTGCGACTACTACACAATCTCGTCATTATATATGGCAGGGTGGTGCTATACCCCAGACGGTTCTGGAGGTGGCGACTGGGCGGGTGGCGGCGGCTTTGGTGTTATAGATCTTGGCGGTGGCGGTGACGACTTCTGGTTCTGAGGACACAGCTCCCACCACGGCGGCCATGTATGGCATGCGCTCGCTGTGCCACCTACCCTATCTCACCAGCGGTCTACGTGGCGGCGTAGCATGCTTGGTATCGACCTGCCATCAAGGATATCGGGAGGCAGCCGCCCTGCCTGTTGTCGCCAGTTACTTTGCCTCCAGCGCCCGAGGAAACCATTCCCTACGAGGATTCGCATCTTAGGTGCATTTCCTGTAGCCGTGATACGACAATTATCCTGGGTCGGGCCTTAATTAATCGCGATCACGAGAAAATCATTCCCTTTTTCAATTGCACCTAAACCTCTAACGACGCTCCCACGCGTAGCAAATCACGACAAGCACTGAGCTGCTAGTGCCAGTGCCCTCCTAGTGCATCGGGGCAGCCCTGGCCAGTTCGCTTTCGTTCATGTCTACGAGCGTACTGCTGTCAAAAATCGTACATTCTGCGTGTATCGTTCATTGTACTGCTTCCCACCCCTTGTCAAGTTGGAAGTGAGGAGGCTGCCATTGGAAGTTCGTTGCAGCCGTTGCTTAACAACAAAAAGGTTTGCAGTTCTGCTGCCTGTCCCTGGGCGGGGTTCCTGCACTCCTTGCTTCGTAGTGTTTGATGTATACGACATACATCATCACGCGCGCATGGACTGCTCTTAAGCAATTCAGGTAGCAAGCTAGAGTGCTGCCTTCCATACCTGTTTCTGGGGCATTCATGGAGAACATGTGCAGAGATGTATGCTGCGGAAGGCGGTGTTGTCGTTACTAAGGTGGCCTAGCACTGCTGCAAGGCAGCAGGCGGAGCTAAGTATTGTCGTAGGTATGTTTGGCTCGTCCCAAGAATCTTTCCAAGGCGCCCAGCGGATGAGGTGCATGCTTGGGCGGGGGAAGGGTAGGCGCGGGGAGAGCAAGTGTGTAGCATTTGGTAGCTACCATGTTTTGGGGGGGGAGATCCGTGAAGGGGGTTTAGGGGCAACATTCATGGCCCCGTGCGCGCCAATAACCGTTCCCCGCCGTGCACCGCCTTAGAGTCAGGTGCATACATACAGACAAACCTGCATGATGCTCCATCATATGCGCCACGTTAGATTTTACAGTTGCTCCATGCTCATTGTATTGCGCTTACTTTTGCACCTTCAATTGCATGACATGCAACTTGTATTATTAACTGTCGTACAGTACGGCGCACACCGCCAATATACATACGCGCGAAGGCGCTCTGCCGCCAGCATCTATAGCGGCCTTTTCAACGGCCAGCCAGCAGGTACTATAAGGCACATCCGCGGCAGCCAGTTAGTTCCCTTCGTTGGCAACCCCCACGGCCCGCTGCCATGCACGTGCTTGCACTCGTCTACATGCAGGTCGGTGTCTGCAACACGCTGCTGTACACTGCTCAATGCACCGCTGGTTTCTATCTTTCGTTCACCTGTGTTCCATCTATGGATAGGCTTGTGCAGTTGCTGGTAGTTAGTGATGATTAGTAACGGTATTTACGGAGGATGGAGGCAACAGGGCAAGAGAGCACACATATACGTCAACATGTAGTGAATGGCGGCGTGGCCCATGTTAGCTATGTTGTGTTGTGTTTGCCATTACTACTGATTATTCAACATCGTTAAACAATAGCAATCAGGGGGATTATTAGCGATAGAAGCTCAGTAATAAGCAGGAGGTGCTGCTAACTGCTGATTGAGTGCTGATCCTTAATAAGGGATACGACAGTGCATGCGTCACGCAGATTTTTGTACACACATGCATACAGCAGTTTTAACCATGGTATACTCCTGGCTTCGAGTGGTTTCGGAATCAGTGTCCTGGCTTCGAGTTGGTGGCAACTTTTACAATCGGCTGGTCGCTCGGGGCAGGTGATTTATGCGCCATCCGTGCCCGGTTAATCCTTTGCGAGCCCTGGGCAGTCCGCGGGGTGGGCTTAGTTCACGGTGGCAGGTAGCCAAGGTGGTGCCCGTGCATGTATGTCGGGCCATTTCCCTCCTGTGACCTTCATCCTTGCCCCACTTGTGGACAGTGTCTAGGGCTCCTTTTAGTGTGGGGAGTGATGGGCAGGCAAACGTCCTTGTTTGATAGCGCTGTCTGGACCGTGGTTCATAGCTACCTTTCCAGGCTTTTCCGGGCCTGAACAATGTTTGAGTGCGGGTAGCATTGCTGTCAGTAATCCGGTCGGTCGGATGGTTAAATTGAAGCACGTCATCATCATCATCATCCATGTGTGCTTGACGTCGTGATAGGATTGTCGGCGTCCAGGGAGGGGGCGCGTGCGTCATCTTCACCTATCTGCAAGCTATGTAGGTTTACCAGCCACATACATGCACCTTGCTCGAAGTCGCTCGAAAAGCTGTTCCATATCCGTGCGTGCCGCCATCAATCTGCGGCACTAAACAGCGTGGAATGCCAACACTGATTTCCGTAATTTAGTGCCGCCGATTGTCGTACTTCTGTCTCAGTGATGTGCTTTAGCCGGTTGTTTCAGCGCTATTGCGTCCTAACATGCACACTACACACACCGATGGCATGCTACCGATCGACACGACACGACACATAATATGTACTATGCATGCATGGAGTTCAAACGCTGTGATCCGTGCTTGTGTCTGGGCTCTGAGTTTTCATGGTCTTCTTTTGGGGGCGGGCCGCCTACGGGCTCGCTTGGTCATGCAAATGCGCTCCGGGCACGCTGTAAACCTCACGCTACGCGTATGTAGGCTTGCCCACCTGAAGAATTGTTTTATTGTGTAGTGGGTGTGGTTGAGGGTGCTGCAGCCTAAGTTGTTATGGGACTTATGATATATGGTATGAGCACGGTGAGTCGAATGAGGAGCGATTACCGACGGAAAGCTTACAAGGAGCAAAGCTAACCGATGAGTTGTGCTCGTGTAACAAACTCCACACTACATTCTTGTCTTGTTCCTGGTTTGTGCCTTGGTGGCCGAAAGGCCGACTTCTTCGCCTGATTTGCCTGGATGTGTTCAGGTAATCCAGGGATGCGTTCGGAAAAGCCTAAGTCTTGTTGCCCCAAAAGGCAAACACAGCAATACAAGGGACATAAACGTGCTCCTCTCCCTCCTCTCCCTCCTCTCCCTCCTCTCCCTCCTCTCCCTCCTCTCCCTCCTCTCCCTCCTCTCCCTCCTCTCCCTCCTCTCCCTCCTCTCCCTCCTCTCCCTCCTCTCCCTCCTCTCCCTCCTCTCCCTCCTCTCCCTCCTCTCCCTCCTCTCCCTCCTCTCCCTCCTCTCCCTCCTCTTCCTCCTCTCCCTCCTCTCCCTCCTCTCTCTGTGAACGCTTTACTCATTAACCTTGCAGATGTTCCCGGTTTCAAGGTTCAACTCATACACGTTCCTGCAGTTCTCGAGTACATCTTTCATAATTTATTACTAGTTCTATTTGCCGCTTCACGTTGCCATTTTTTCTTACGTCACACCCATATGTCTGGTCGATTTGCGTCATGTGAACTTTGTAATCGCCTTATGCTCGGCCACTACTTCACACTGCACATCTTCCTGGCTTCTGCGCTTTGCATTTTACCGTGTTTCCTCTCACCGCGCTTCGGCCCCAGCCGCATGCCTCCTGTTACGACATTGCCTCCTGCTACGACATTCTTTAGTCCGAGCATGCTCGCCCATTTTTCATCCAACATCTAGGTTGTTGCCCACCTTTCGGGTGGGCAATCCAAAAGACAACCAGAGCTGAAAACGGGCTGCTGGCCTCAAGCTTAAGCCACAGGTTTGCTTAAAAGAAATCATTCTGTGCCGGGAGAGACTTGTAACATGCAGACTATGTACAACAAAGATAGCAATTCCTATGAGCTTGAGCGGTGTGTGGGTCAGCCAGGACTGTTCAACTACCAGCAGCTTAACTTTCTAGTACTCTACTTACAGCAAAGGTCATATTGGCACTAAAAAGTGAAGGCGTCGAGTCCTTATCAGAGCACACGATACGGTACTTAGCTGCTTCAAGCACCGTTTCACTTCCCTTTCCAACTTGCGGACCTTCAGCATCCAGGTGCGGAGGATGACCTTTGGCGTTTTAGTCTGTAGCTACAGGATTTTAGTCTGTACCTTGTTTGCACAGCAGGGCCTTTAAAATCTCAAACCATTTCGTCCCTTCCGTCCCCCTATGTGAACATCCCAACAAGGCAGGTGAAAAGATGATAATGCCAAAAGATGCACTTTTTTGCGCTTGAGAATTATTTAAAATCTTTACCCTTAAACCCTTAAACTTGTGCTACGGGCTGCTGGCAAGTAACGTTCCGTACCTTTGGAACCCTTGCTACAAAAGGGCCAGGAGCATAGCAGTTGTTACTCAACAGCAGCAACGGCTCACAATGGAGGATGAATATTATGCGAAGCTGGTACGTAAGCAATCGCCAGCGTCAAAATGCGTGGACTTGCTGCGGCTGCTGCATGCAGTTGACTGCTTCCCTAGAGGTAAGAAATTGCGATCTCTGATCTAGAGGCAACGATTTGCAGTTTTTTGCATCCACTTGACCAAGCTGACCCGCGGATAGGTGGCTTGTACACGGGCTATTATGCCTTGGCAGCCGCGACACGCTACGAGATATTCTGGGTCGAGATTCTTAAGCGACATAGTACAACCACTGTACCGCCATTGGACATCGCCTTTGCATGGTGTGTGCATAGCCCATTAGGCTTGCTTGCCAAGTACGTACACGTGGGGCCAAAATGGCAAGACGATGCTAACCTTGCATGACGAGCTGTACATCTGTCTTTACGAGCCTTAACATTTTCATCTTCAAAACGTTTCCGTGTTACCAACCTGACGTGGGTGCATAGAATGCGAATCGACGTAAGCAAGAGCAACTACTGTTCGCCATCTGCAGGTTCATTCACCGACAGGATCCTGCAGCGTACAATAAGTCGCTCTTAGAAAAAGGGTTGCAGGATGTCCACCCGATTAATAGCACGGCATTCTCCTTCGGGCAGCGGCGTTCAGACAGCACACTGTGGAAGTCCGTGGCTGCCAGCCACCCCGCCTGGCCGCCCCCGGCCCCCGGTTCGGTGCACAGCAAAACCACCGGGCCGCTGGCCTTTGCGACGCAAGTGGTGAGTGCTATTGCGTGCTAGGCACTACACAATCCAGCTTCAAGGGATGCTTTGGCTTGCCCTGAACGGCATAATGAGACGGCAAAAGGCCGTCAGAAATGCCGTCAACGAGCATAGTGAAGGCGCCCATCCCAGTCAGGCCCAGCCTGGCTCCCATACATACCGCCTTCACCTCATTTCCCCGGGCATCCCCCTTCCAGGCTGCTGCTATGGGCCGCTTCTCCCGCATGCTCCATTCCTGGCTGCGGCCGCACTTCCTGGATTTGACGTTTCAAAACCAGGCCCAAGACAGGTGGGCAGGGAAATACACCAGTTCTGGGGACACCAGTTCTGGAGTGCAGTTCCGGGCACAGGTGCGCCCCTCCCCTGGCTACAAGAAGCCCTCGTTTGGCTTGCCCTAGCCTTGCTCTCCATTCCCTTGCAGCTTTGGTTATTGTTGATAAGCGCTAAAGTGTGCGCCTTTGATGCCGCTTTCCTGGTAATGGTAATTATAATTTCCTGGTCAGACCCCCGACATTGTTCGGGAGGTCTAGGTTTACTAACGCTGCTGAGGTGTGGAGATGGGGTCTAGTTAATGGACTGAGTTTCGCATACTGAGATGGTGGTGATGGCTGATCTGTCTCTACGGATGTCGGGTGACTGGATGAGGAGGGGTCTAGTTGGCAGGACCCAAACCGCCGTCGGTTGTACGTTGTAATCAACTTTCAATATATATAGTCCACGGCCTCCCGGCTTTGACGGACCCCCCCGCACTCGTGCAGCACTTGTAACTTGCTAAGGCGGATGCTGCACGTCCATTTCTATCCACTGTGATGGTGCCGTTCTTGAAAAGCGTGCATTAAAAATAAGTCGTTGTTCATTTTTTCCCCTCAGGTACATCCGCTTCCTGGAGCTGCACCGTCAGCACCCGGAGGTGACTCTGGTCCCCACCGCCGACATTGCGCTGATGTGGCACACACACCTGGGGATGAGCGAGGAATACGCGAAGGCCTGCCTGTTCGGAGAAAGGTTGGAACCTTGGCGGCCTGATTACTTGGACTTGAGCGACCCGGCAAAGATAGCTGGGGCATACCGCGAAACTGCGCAGCTGTACCAAGAAAAGTACGGTAAGCTCGTGCCGTACATTGCCCTATACGTTCCTTGGGACGAGTCTGGCAGCATGTCAAGGTCGGTATGAGGGCTACTAACGGACAGGCCTTGCGCTGAGCGGCACGTTTCCGGGCGGGGAATGTGGCCACGTTTTCGCCTCAACAATTTATCCGACTGTCCGTGCATCGCTACCCGGCTTTCATTCCTCTCACCCTCATGCTTTCGAACTAACCTTTCCAGACCCCAATATCCTCGCCCCTGTCAGGTGAGCCGTACGACGGCCCCGACACTGCCTGGCTGGCGGACTCGGTGCCGTACCCGCTGGTGACGTCCGCCAACCCGCTGGCCTACGCGCTGCGGGTTTTTGACGACAATCCGCAGCAGGCGGAGCAGCAGACGGCCATTGGCCTCGCCTGCCAGGCCACCGGCCTGCCTGAGCCCCAGCCCGGTGCGCCCGTGGTTCGCAGTGGGGCTCATGCCCTGTACTTGACGTGGCTGGCGGCCAGGAGGGCGGAGGCGGCCTTCAATGATTTGACGTGTAATCGCTGCTGCTGGACGAGAAATAAAACGGTCCATATGCAAACGTTGGGGTGAGTTGGCCTGAATCTCTGGATCTTTGCAGGTTGCGACGGACTGTACGGGGACTGGGCTCAGTTGAATCGTACATTAATCAACATGGATTTGTCGGAACAGGTGTGCGCCTCTGTGACAAACCTCTGGAAAATTTACCAGTTGGCGCAATCCAACGAAGCACCCTGAAGAGCTGAAGGATTTGCTCATGAAGCCATTCCTGTTTGCAAGACACGACCTCTATGCGTGAACGTTAGTTATCTTGTTTATCTTGCTGCCCTCTCTCTCTCTCCCTCTCCCTCTCTCCCGCCTTGACTATCCCTCCCTCCCTCCCACATGCACGTGTACGGCTCCAGGGACGTCAACTCCGCACTTGTGTCCGTGGCCTACTTCCTGGAGCTGCCGGACATTGACACGGTGGGCGGGTGTCGTACTAGTACGGTGTCCTATCGCACATGCCCAGCTGCTCATGTCGTCCTTGGAATTGAATGGGTTTGTTTTCCGATGCTGGTTCCGGGCAAGTCTGGGCGGAACCAGGTCAATCATGCGCACGATGTCAAGCTCCATGAACATCATTAACGGCGATAGCACGCGTCATCCACGCATGCACACAGGCATGCGGGGCGGTGCTTCAGGTGCCCAGGCTGCCCAGGCTGCCCAGGCTACTACCACTACATTTTGTTGCTGCTTCCCAAACAAAGCTGTATCTCCTTTTCGGGGCCGAATGGAAGCCTCTTGCACTTGGCTGACATCCACACTCGCTTAGGTGTATTTGGTTCCTGCCGTACTCACCTCCCCTTTTTCGCCTCCCTCACAGCACCCATACATCAAGGCCATCTCGCGGCGGGTGGGAACCTGGGAACCCAAGCCCTCCTCTCTCAAAGGTGAGCACCAACACCAAGGAACAGAAGTATGGAAATATGGATGAATGAATGGACGAACGAAGAATGAATGATGCCGCAGTGGATTCGACCGGATCATCGGTGCTGACCATGCCCCAAACCATGCCAATATCATAACAATGCCATGCGCACTATAACGTAGAATATATGAATGATGAATATAATATATGAATGGTTTTACGTGCAATATGCAAATTGTACTAGACGATTGGCACTGGTGCCCCTGCCCCAACACTGTATGTTATGTATGTTAGGCCAGGAAAGGCCCAGATGCATATGTCCCAAGGTGAGGTCCGCGTCAAGGCCAGGAAAGGCCCCAAACACCAGCGGCGCTCCCCTGGCTAGTATTAGGAAAACAAAACCCTAGGAACGACACGGCAGACAAGTCCCGCGTGCGAGCTGCTGAAGTTGAAATCCCGCTACCGTGTGCATGATCAGGAACTCTTGAGCCGGCTATGGCGACGGCAGAGACGGCCTTCAAGCCATCCGACCCGGCGGATTACCTCAGCGGGCGGGAGTCGCACCTCCTCAAGGGTCTTACGCCGCTGCTGGCTGCGGCGATGGTGCCAGCGCCGAAGGCGGGTTCGGCCCCCATGGTCTCTGACAGCTATGATTCGCCCTTGTGGCGCATCCTTGCTACCCAGCAGAGCGTACATCCCAAAGTAGAGGGCCAATACTCGTCGGCATGGAAGATCTCCGCGAGTCATGGTGTGGGACGTATGCAGCACATGTATCAAACTCGGTCGCACAAGCACGAAGGCTGCTACGTGTACGGATCGAGCGATTATTACGTTGTTACGACGTTGTACATGACAGGGTGGTACTATTATGGTGACGGTTATGGCGGCGGCGGCTGGGTAGGTGGCGGCGGCTGTGGTGGCGGAGGCGGTATCGGTGTTGATAGTGGTGGCTTCGGAGGGGATGCCGGTGGCGGTGGCGGTGGCGGTGGGGGGGGAGGGGGCGGTGGTGGCTGCGGTGGCGGTTGCGGCGGCGGCGGCTGTGGGGGCTAAGCTAGGAGGCCTAGTTGGCGATTGTTTCACCTGTGCGCGGGAGCTTCTGATGATGAATCGCCTAGAATGGCAGTTTTACATGGCGGAAATTGCGCACGTGGTGATTTCTCGATCAGCGAATTTCTTATATTCTGATGACTGTTGGTCGAATGATGCGTCCTGGACTGCTTTGCGCGCAGGGTCTTAACATGACGACAAACAACTTTGCGCAGGCGATTGTACCTTTGTCACAATGTATGGAACATCGTATGTGTCTATTCGCAGCAGTAATTGCCATTCCTTGCCTTCTTGCTTCCATTTGCCTACGAGTGAAATCGTATTTCATTGAACAGAAGACGACCTTGTAGGTGGTTTTGGCCTGTGTGTTGCCTTTAATTAAGCAAGAATTTCTCGTCATGAACTCTTGTCATTCCGGAGGACGAGCAAGTCCCGCCCTGCCGGCAGTGCCATAACGGAAGATCCTGACTCAACACTGCATGGCTGGTGATACAGATTCCATGTACGTTGAGTCAAGTGCAAACTTTAATTTTGACATAATATAGTTTTGTGTGTTTCGTGCGGACCGTACCTTCTGGGACACTGTTTTTATCTACCTATTTTTTTATATCTACCTATTGTGGTGTTCCAACATAGGGCAGCTGTACTGCTGTACTGTGCGAAATACCCCGGCGGGGCTTTTAAATACTTAATTTTGCGGTTATTGCGGCGTGTACGCGAGCGGGCGTGGCGGGCGTGTACGCGAGTGTCTGTGTTTGGTTGTTACAGTGGGCTCCAGACTCACGAAGAGTAGAGCCAGCGGGCCAGCGGGCCGCGCACTGCATTAGAGACTAATAGTTCAGTGTCTTCTGGCTGGAAGGGCCGGATAAGACTTCAGCAGTCTTAGTGCGTTGTGATACATTCGTCCCGTCCACAGGATGTAAACTTGGGCAGTAATTTTGCGTGCCTTGGCAATTTGTCCATTTGTTTTTTCGACGTCACAGGCCAGCACCGCAGGACCAACATTTACAAATACCCGCAAAGAGGGCATGAGCTTAATCTCCGCCTCCCCTTTGTGCTCTATCGACGTCCTGGACGTTACAGTCCGTGTCATGCTGCACCACACCAAATCCTTCCTTTTCCAGCAGCCACCTCTCTACGGTCCAAGCAGTAGCACAACAGCTTTTTTTCCGCCGCGTGACCACTGCCCAGCGCGAGTTGCATTATGTACCCCGCAAACAACCAATGCACGCTGTTTCCCCAACCAGGCACCATACGAGGCCTCGGCATTACGCACTGAAAACGCACGCCTTAAGTTAGGAAAGAAATCACTGGTCTGTACGAGAAACCGCCAGTACCCACGAAGTAAATACGTCGGAGCTCCAGCGTCCCCCTGCTATCAACGCCCACCGCACATTCTGTAGCCTGCTATATCGTATCCAAATATGTACATGCATACATGTCCACCACGCAAGGTGGCGAAGAAGAAATACTGCAAGTCATCGGTGGTTCCTTTCGCCTGTGAATTTCGTTACCCTTGAGTAAGATGATAAAACATGTGCTACAGGGCCCACCGCCATGGATGCGCCTGGCCCCCGAACGAGGTAAACCTTTGTCCCTACTGTCCGCGGTGTACCAACCCGAGGCGTATTCCCGGGCATCTTGCAGCCGTCGTGGCCAACACCGACCCATGGGTCCTTTGCTCGTTGCGATCCCTTTCGCCGCTCTTCCTCTTTGCTCCTCTCCACCATGCCTTCCACCATGCGTGCTGCCGCTGCACCACCCTTCATAGCTTGACACCGTTGTTCTTGGCCCATTTGCGCATCACTGCCACAATGGGCTCGCACTGGTCCGCGCTGTTGTTGCCACGCAGCAACGTGATAATGTCTCGAAGCGAGTCCTGTCGGAGCCGAAATGGTGGATACTTTGCATCGGGACAGGACCAGAAGAAACAAAACGGCGAATGGGGCGAATTGCACAAAGCCTGTCTATCTAAAATCTAAAATACATCCACAGCGATCATTAACAAATTAAGCCTCCAAACTCAGAAAAAGCAGCTCACCGTTATCCTCTTCTACCAACACACAAACGCCAGCTTGTACTACATAAGCCAAGCACCTCCCTGTGTAATCATTAAGGGCCGGCCGGCTACCACAGAGCTCGTAAAGGGGCCCTGGAGCCCCGTGCCTAGCCCTCCGAATCTCTCTTTTGCGACCTAGCACGAACATGGCACGGCAGCACCCAACCGGAAATAACAAGGACTTGGCAGCACCCCAGTCACCACCGTACCTTGGGCTCCTTGCCGGCGACGATCATTTGGAAGGCGCCGCAGGCCGCACCCTTCTTGCCTTCCAGGTACTCAGGCGCCGGGTCCAGCCGCTCAAGCACGTCGAACGCCTGGAGGCGGGATTAATGACTTAAAACTATATACATGAGCAGAACATTATACCAGCAGAACATATCACAAAAACAACAATCCCCGAGACCAATTCTTCTCAGGTTTTAAGTGTAAACTACTGACAAGCCACATTATCTCGACATGTACGCCTATGTGACCACACGTCCGCGTTACATGGCCTTCACCGCGCGCACGGTCCCGTATCTCACCTTGCACGCAAAGTAGAAGGCGCCCATCTTGTAGCAGTCGTTGGCGATGAGCTGCAGCAGCTGGTAGGACTCGTCGTTGGTCTCCAGTCGGAGGTACAGCTCCCAGGCCAGCCGGCTCTTGCCGTTCATGATGTAGCACCGAGCTAGCCAAGATAGGTAACAGTATTCGTTCCTGCGCCGGTAGGGATGCCTCAGCGTAAGTCCATGGGTTGCGTCGTTATGATTACCTAGAGCTCCGGGAGTGTATGCGGAGCAGACAAGGAGGGTTTGCATTCCCGTGGAGTCATAACCGGTCCGGTGAGAGGTGTTTTGCTCCGGGCGGAGGTCTCTTGAAGTATAGCAGCAGGGAGACTACCACAACAGCAGTGGCGGCTGCGGCTGCGGCAGCTGCGGCTGCGGCGGCCAGCCGTTGCAATCTCGCGGATGGCTGCCATGCCAGGCATACGGCTAACCCGTGTATCCCCTTCCCCTCACTTCACGCACCGGTACTTGTCGTTCTGGATCTGCAGCAGTGTCTCGTCCGCCTCCTTGTACTTCCCGGTGGCGGCCTTGGCGATGCCCATGTTCCAGTTGAAGTCGTCGTCGTTCAGGAAATACGTCTTGATCGACTGCAGCACCAGCAGCAGCCCCACCACCACCACCGCGACGACCGCCAACACCATATTCACGTAAGGAAAAGCCCAGGAGGTCAAGGACGTAAAACAAGAGCCGGTTTAATGACCAGCTAGCCTATAATCGAACACAGCAAAATTTTGCAGCAAATGACCGCCCGGATGCAAGTCTTCATATGCCTGCAGTCTGTTCTGAAAGCACTACTGCTATAAGCGGTTCAACGACCTGAGTTTGATTCCTAGGTAGTCGTCCGACATCGCCGGGAGGGGAACATTATGGCTAGTTACCAAGATGTGGAGATGTGATCAAGCTGGTGGACTGTAAATCACATGTGGGATCGGAGGCGATTGCTGTAACCTCTAACTCTACAGATTTTCGGGTGTTTACTGGATCAACCGTCTTGGATTTGTAGTTCGTGTGGCGAAGTATAGTGTGGTAATGCTGGGTGGTGTTCAATCCACGATATGACAATCATACTTGCCCTGCCTCCCACCTTGCCTCCCCACACGCACCGAGAGGAAGACCAGCACGTCCTCAAACTGCTTGAGGAGGAAGAAGCAGCTGGCCATGCACTGCCGACCAGGGATGGTGTCACACTCCGAGGCGGAGGCGCCCACCAGCTGGTAGTACTGTTGCGCCTTTTTAAGGTGCTCCGGGTCACCCTTGGCCTGGCCCAGCATCGCGTGCACCACGGCCTACGGAGGGGACGGGGCCGGCGGAAGCGGTGGACACGAGGCAGCATGAGAGAAGGAATGAGACAGGAATGGAAAAAGCGGCAGCTCCGGATCTGGGCCACAATGTTCGGCAAAAGGCGCGGGCCCGGAGAAACGGATGGGAATGGGATGGACAGGACAGAGTGGCACTGCTTGTGGTAGAGGGCAGTGGCAATGCCGAACACACAGCAACGCAGCCGGGTGTGCGCTCTGTGCAAAGCCACGAAAACAGATAACTGGAGAATTTGCTTAGATGACCACAGCCTCATCGCCAGGGTTGCCTTCACTCTGCCCTCAAATTCCAAAAACATGTTCAATAGCGCGCCTAGAGGGTTAAGGAGTGCTACATGTCCCCCTATCCTGTAGCCTTGCCGTATCCGCGCGGCGCTAGCCTGGCTCACAACAGTTGAGGCATGCATGAGCGTGGAGGTGAGGAGCAACGCAAGCAGGATGCAACGCAGGAAGGCAGCCGAGCGGACGGTCGATGTGACGACAGGGCGCGGTGTGGCACGGGACGCGTGGCAAGGGTGTCTAGGGATGAAAGGAAACTTCTCGCTGCACAGGCAGATGGATACAGCCAAGAGGAAGCCCCCCAGGATGGAAGACGTGGAGGGCGTGTGTGTGTTGGAGGTCTGGGCGGATGGCCCCATATACAGATGGCGCCAAGGGCAGCAGAATGAATGCGGTGCAGAAACCAAAGTGCATCTTCGGTGCAACAGCCTTCCAGCCAGCCTACCTTCAAGATGAACTCGGGAGGCGTGGACGGTTCCATATCCTTGATCAGCATGTACGCCTCCCCAATCTCGTGGTGGCGCAGGTGGTGGATGACCAGGTTGAGCCGCGCCTCGGGCGGGATGTCGCCCAGCGGGGGCAGCACCTGCAGCGGGGGACGGATCAGGAAACCCGCCGCAAGGAAATCCCCACCCGAATGAGCGACCCAGGGAGCGAGGCCAGCGGCTTCTTGGCAGAACATGGTACATCACCCTCAGGCGCGCCAAGCAACAGGCACGTAACGCCCTGGCGGAGTAAACACGCACGACCTAGCAATGCCCCCTTTCAGCACACACACACACACACACGCCCTTACCTGGAGTGCGTTCTCGCCCCCTCTAAACACCACGAGGTTGTGCCGAATGAGGTCGTGGTCCAAGTGCTGGCCGCCACTGAGCTCCGCCAGCGTCTTGAGCTCTGCTTCCGCCGCCTTGCCGTTGTACATGCGGAAGTGGTTACAGGCCTGGGGCGAGGAGCGGGGCAACAGGTTGAAAGAACCGGCGTGGCGACTTTATCATTGCCAGCTTACCATTAGGTATGGCTTTTACACGACGGCTTAGGAAAGGTGTTACAGCAGAGTCCCGGCGGACTTGTGTGATGCGCATTAGTGCATAGCAGGGGTAAGATGTAGCGGGGTTGATGTGGGACAGGGCGGCAGGCGGACTTGTAGTTTACTAGATGCTTATGGAAGGGGGTGCAAGCACCTCACCTCATCGGGGCAATGCCCGGAGGCTAATGCAAGGCGGACGTTGTACGGCCGCCGGATGGGCTGCATGTGCTGGCAACAACGCAGCCCAGTACCTTCCGGTGGAGTGCGCCCACAGCCACCTCACATATACATATGCCCTTCAGGCGCCTAGCGAAAAAGGTTCAACACATCGCGTGGAGCACTTCCCCACCCCGAACCCCCAGTGCCTCCCCACCGCGAAGCGCGCCACACACCTTGAGGTTCACGGCTATGGCGCTGTCCTGGAAGGCGTTCAGATACACCCCCAGAATCTCCAAGCTGACATCGTAGTAGTCCAGCTTGCAGTAGCACAGAGCAACGTAAACCTGCAGGAGACGACGTGAGAGGACAGCAGGACGTGAGAGGACACCGCCGACAAGGACACGGCGGGAAGAACGCATAAATGGCAAGGACACGGCCCCACACGGGAAGAACGCATGAGCGACAAGGACGCCGGGAACGCCTAGGGACTGTATGAAGGCACGAAAGTAGGAAAATCACGAGGAATGGAAAGGCAGTGAAGGTTGTTGCCATGTATGTGCCGCACCATGCAGGCTTCCGGAGATGCTTTATACGGGCAGGCAAGCAAAGTGCAGGGAGGATTTCGCCACGTGTACGGTCAGCGCTCAGGAGGCCTCTGACATCTAGGCTTCCTAGACCCCCTCAATCCTTCCCCACTTGACCGTTTTACCACTGCGACAAAACACCGCCAGCATGGCTGCAACTATATGCTAAGGAGACCTTCGAATCCAACCTTCGCCGACAGTCGAGTCTGGGGTCTCGTGTGTCTGTACCGACAGGTCTTTCGTCCTACTACCTAGCACCCTTCGCCTTGCCAGGCCGGATGGTTCATCCATCGGCCACATCCTCGGCCAGTACCTCAAAGTCCACTCCGCACAGATGCCAAACGCCCCATTCAAGGCAGAGGACACAAAAGCCCAGTTCACGCTCACGTTCAAGGCCAAGTAATCTCGGTGCTCCAGCAGCAGCCGCTTGTAGATGTCCGTCGCCTGCATTGTAACAGGTCACAAATGTACGGTAGATCTTAACTATGTACCCTGCTAACACTTGCGCTGGGATCCGCTGGGTGCATTACATGTGCACCAGTGGACAGGCGCGTCCATGCTGGGATCCGCAACATTGCAAGAAATTCCGTAGAGGGAACACGGGCACAGGCCGGTCCGCCTGTCGTGTATGCATGTATCCAGCCTGAAGCCTAAGACGCAAAGCCCCCTTCGCCCTGGCGGCGCCAGAGAGGCAGAGCAGCCAGCATCAAAGATGTAAACTGCCTATGGGCCTTGCTTGGTTGCGTGACCTCCCGTCCTGGACTAGGTGGTTCAATCGCACGCAACCCGCAATCAACCTGGTCCAGGCCTGCCAAGCTCCACGAAGCAAAGCCCGCGCTATGAGAGGCACCGGAAACGCCGACCCGGCCCAGGTACAGCAATTGGCCCTAGTTCAGCGCCTGTGGAGACCGTGATGGCCACCAGGCCACCGACTAGCTGCAGGCGGCCTACGCCTTGCCATTCATGCCCCTGCCGCAGTCTGCGGGCCCGCCACTCCATCCTAGCACCCAGAGGTCCAGGGCCTGGCATAGCTCTGTAACCGCAAGCCGCCCGTGGCAAACGCACCTCCTGAAAGTGGCTGCGCTGGTAGTGAATCGACGCCAGGGTGAGCTGGTCCTCGATGGAGTCCGTCAGCTGGCCATGGTAAGCCATCAGTTTATCATCGTTACCCTGTCGCTGTGCGCTGTGGAACAGAATGCGAGTCTGCAGCGCGCACTTGGGCCCCTTTGCGCGGGAAAATAGTTGGTTGCGTGGGGTTGTGTTGGGGAAAAAGGGTCAACGTTGTTGCTTCAAGGACGATGATTCCGGGCTGCGTATACAGGCATCCCAAAGTTGCAACCCTTAGAAAAAGTTCGTGCGCACCTGCTGCGCTGTCTCTTCAGCCTCTTTATACATCCCCATGTAGTAGAGGCACGCCGCGGAGTACACGAAATACATGGGATCTGGGTCATCATGAGTCAGCAGCTCCTTGTAAATCGCCAGCGCCTGTGGGCGGGATAATGGGCTCTTCCTGTAAAGATGTTGGGAGGTGAGGCGTACCCAAAGCATGCGCCCGAGTGGTCCGCACCTTGTCGTGCTCTCCGTAATGGAAGTAGCAGTAAGCTAACCATTCTAAATTTTTAACGTCATGCCGATTAGCATGCCGTCGGAAAGACAGCAACGCAATCGCTCCAAGATAGTCACGCTTCGTTAGGAACTCCTCAAGCTCCGGCACCTTTGGTTTCTCCGTTTGCTGTGCCTGCAGATACGTTGCCAAAAGTTGTTCGCTTTCTATAAATTGAACCACGGTGCCAAGCCCAACTTTGTCCCGCGGACCTGCGCGACGTTTGTGCGGGCTGCATGCTGTGGTCTTGACTTGCTATAAAACATTTGCAGTCAATCTACAGCAGCACGCCCGCCTAAGGCGGTTCGGCAAAGGTCTAAGCAAAGGATGTTGAAGGTCAAGTCTCAGCTAAGCAGTAAAACTATCAGACGTCAAACCAATTCATATATTTATCTTGTGCTCAAAACCAGAAGAAATAAAAAACGTAACAAACTGCATGGATAGGAGGACGTTCGTCCGGCGTAGTGCCGTACTTCCATTCTACATATCTCTCCCAGCAAAGGTCGAAGTTCCCAGTCTCTGCAAGGAAATAAGCGATATTTGGGTCACTCGATAGTGATGCTTCTTACTTTTTACTGCCTGCTGGCTACCTCACACCCGACACCATCCGTAAAGTGTGCTGACAGCTAGTGACAAAGCCATTATCCTAAACCGCATGAGGGAGGCATATTGGTTCGGCGGAATATAATCCCAGTAATGCTTTGGCATACCCATTCTATCAAGTGACGAGGAATGGCTTTATTCTGTTTTGAAAACATCAGAGCGGTGGATGCCACTCTGATAAACATCCTACCTAACGGTATAGCTAACCGTGGCTATCCGCGAACAAGGAGAGAGCATTGATATGTGTGTGTTACATGGTTGGGGGTGCGTGACCCCATACCTGTAAAACTACCTCATACGAGCCGAAGGCCCAAGGGCGTTGATATAGAGGGAGCGTAGGAACACAATCAGTCGAAAGAAGGACGTTGGTAAACCAATGAGACGGTACGACTGGAACTCCGACTTCCAAGGTTGTGGTGTATTCATCTACTGTCCTCTTCGGCAGCGCCTATTCTGTCCTGTCCCAGCAGGCGAAATTTATAAACTATTTTTGAGCTATGCCCTTGCCCTTGTGTGTGCCGTACCGAATTACGGCAGATCGTGCTCCCGCCGGTTGTCCTTTTGACCCCTTCAGTCAAGGCTGAGATCAGTAACGCACGCAACACGCAACAACTAAAATTGACAAAGCCACCGCTCCTAAGCTACATGAAGCGCAGAAACCAGCGATTCATCGAGAGGACTGCCCAGGGCTCGCTAAGGACTAACCGGGCACGGATGGCGCACAAGTCACCTGCCCCGAGCGACCAGCCGATTGTAAACGTGGCCACCAACTCGAAGCCAGACCACTGATTCCGAAACCACTCAAAGCCAGAAGTATACCATGGTTAAAACTGCTGTATGTATGTGTGTGCTAAAATCTGCGTGCCCCATGCACTGTCGTATCCCTTATTAAGGATCAGCACTCGATCAGCAGCTAGCAGCACCTCCTGCTTATTACTGAGTTTCTATCGCTAATAATCCCCCAGATTGCCATTGTTTAACGATGTTGAATAATCAGTAGTAATGGCAAACACAACACGACATACATAGCTAACATCGGCCAAACCGCCATTCGCTACGTGGTAACGTCGATGTGTGCTCTCTTGCCCTGAGTGTCTCCATCCTCTGTAAATACCGTTACTAATCATCACTAACCGCCAGCAACTGCACAAGTCTATCCATAGATGGAACACAGGTGAACGAAAGATAGAAACCAGCGGTGCATTGAGCAGTGTACAGCAGCGTGTTGCAGACACCGACCTACATGTAGACAAGTGCAAGCACGTGCATGGCAGCGGCCCGTGGGGGTTGCCAACGAAGGGAACTGGCTACCGCGGATGTGCCTTGTAGTACCTGCTGGCTGGCCGCTGAAAAGGCCGATATAGATGTTTGGGATGCACCTTAACGCGTGTGTGTGTATGTGTATTACATCTCGGTTACGTTTCCCGAGAGATGTAACGAGTGCCCATACGAGCCAGGGGCTAAGAGCCTAAGATGCACAAGTTCTGTAAAGGACATAGTACAACGCAAAAGTTCAAGTATACACACGAAAAATATTGACACTAGTCAACTATGACCGCCTGCGTGGAGACGAGTGCGTGAGCCAAATGTTATGTACCGGGTGGGAAAGTTACGTTTGCTCGCTGTCCATCATAATCAAGTTCGTATCAGAATATATAGTGCATGTATTGGCAGTGTGCGCCGTACTGTACGACAGCTAATACAGTTTGCTTGTCATGCAATTGAAGGTGCAAAAGCAAGTGCAATACAATGAGCGTGGAGCAATTGTAAGATGCAACGTGACGCTTATGATTCAGGGCTTGTCTGTATGATGTGTGAAACAGGGGGGTGTATCTTCGCCCGTGGCAGCTACCCTGCGAAACCCTGCCTTCCCCGGTATTTCGGGGCACCCTCATCCAGTCACCCTAGTCAACTTCTCAGTGGACCGCTTAGGTTCCGCACCCACCACCAGCATCCAACGGCGCAACTCTATTCCTGGTCGGCTCGCAGATTAACTTAATCTCAGGTCACCAACGTCCATTAACTAGGGGCGCAGTGCCTTCCACCATCGGAAGGACTATGACTCTAACGGGTATCGATCCTGGGATTTCCCGGGGGCAATGGTCGCGCCTTACCAGTGGTGCCAAACCCTAGTCTGTATGTATGTTGTTACAGGGCAGTCCCTGCTCTCCCCCGCTAGAGGGGCACCCTAATCCGTTCACCCCATCCGACTTCCGAATGTATTCGTTGGGTTCGGCAACTCACCACCAGCATCCAACCAAATCTAGCGGATCAACGGCGCATCAACTTAGTTCCTGGTCAGCTCGCAAGTTGATTTTATCACGTCCTACATCGTCCATATGATGGGGCCACCTCCCATTTCACCACTCCTCAAACACCCGAGGAGCCGGCAGGCGGATTTCAACCCGGGTCGACTGGGTCGACTGGGAGCAGAAGTCAGGCCTTAACATCTGCCAGCCGCCTGCCTGTCTGTCTGTATGTATGCACCTGACTCTTAAGGGGGTGAACGGCGGGGAACGGTTATTGGCGCGCACGGGGCCATGAATGTTGCCCCTAAACCCCCTTCACGGATCTCCCCCCCCAAACATGGTAGCTACCAAATGCAACGCACTTGCTCTCCCCGCGCCTACCCTTCTCCCGCCCAAGCATGCACCTCATCCGCTGGGCGCCTTGGAAATATTCTTGGGACGAGCCAATCATACCTACGACAATACTTAACTCCGCCTGCTGCCTTGCAGCAGTGCTAGGCCATCTGCCCCAGTGAAACATGTATAGAAGGCAGCACTCTAGCTAGCCACCTGCATTCCTTGGGCATGATACATGTGGTGCTGACTGGATGAAGAGCTGGGCAATCCCATCAGCATACATGGCTGGATCCCAATCCAGAATCGATTTCCTCAGGCGATGGAGGCAAATTAACTGGCGACAACAGGCAGGGCGGCTGCCTCCCGATATCCTTGATGGCATGTCGATATCAAGCATGCTACGTAGGCTTACCGTACGTCTCCTGATACAGCCGCGCAGTCTCGCGGTATGCCTCCACTAGCTGAGTAGGGTCGCCCAGGTCCAGGTAATCGGGCCGCCAGGGCGCCGCCTCCGCCCCAAGCAGCTTCTCACAGGCCTCGGCGTATTCCTCGCTCATCCCCAGGTGTGTGTGCCACATCAGCGCAATGTCGGCGGTGGGGACCAGAGTCAACTCCGGGTGCTGACGGTGCAGCTCCAGAAAGCGAATATACCTGAGGGTGAACATGTAAGCAGTGCTCCTCTAAGCCCCATGCATGGAAGTGAAGCGTAGGTAAGTGAGCAGGCGTGGTTAGGGCGTTTCTTCATACGACGGCGGGGAGAAGAGGAAACGTGTTTTGTGTCAGGGGGTAGCACAGCAACAGCACCAATCTGCGCTCAAGCCGCTGACGGAGGAGAAAGCAATCCCAAGGCATATATAAGTGTCATCCGCTCTAAATGCTAACCATGATTAGATATAGGTTCGCGTTGGGACTATGTTTGTGTTCCAGCTGACAGGGATGAGCAAAATGTCCGTAAATCTGCAGCTTTTACAAACGATTTAAGAGATATGGCATTTTGGTTAAGAAAGTGCGGAGTTAAGACGATAGCGATGGAGTCAACCGGCGTGTACAGGATTCCGGTACAGACACACTCAGCGGGCATATCCGTTCCTAATTATTACACTTTCGGGGCTGCACATTTACCAAGCTTGTAGCTGGCGAGTAACCCGTGCAGACAACTGCCCTGTAGCTACTGAGCCGCCTTGGCCAAGGTAGCCTTGGCCACCCATGGGTGGGGATAGGGATAACGTACAGTGCTGTCCGTACAGTACCGTCAGCAGTTGCATTAATCCGTTGTGTACTATGCATAAGCCGTATCCTTAACCGTGACGTGTTGGCTCTGTTAAATTTTGATAAATTTTAAGCTTAGCAAAGTCCGTAAGCTTGCCCCAGGGTCACCGTAAGTTGCGTTTTGACTCGTTTACCTACGTAAGGAACAGGTTATAAATCTGGAAGCCGACGGCGGTTAAACAAAGCACATATATATAGCCTTGAATTCAGACGGTGGTAACGAGTGATGCCCGACGACGACAATGTCACGCTCATATTTAGGCATGCGCCCGCGTGCAAATGTGTGCACATGTTGCGGCTGCTTCATGCAGTCGATTGCTTTCCCAGAGGTAGGTAAATTATCCATAAGCGCAGACAATTTGCTGTTTCTGTGGTGAGTTGGTCGACTCGTGCCTATGAAATGGACCAGGCGGCTTGTACACGGGCTACTATGCGATTGCTGCCGCAACGCGTTACGAGCGGTTCTGGTTTGAGATATTGAAATCAAATCGCACGGCCGCGGTACCGCCGTTAGACGTCGCCTTTGCTTGGTGCGTAGTTTCGCAGGCTTTCCGGAATTTTTTGCAGAAAACTGCTTGGCAAGCGCACATACTGCATAATCTATATTAATTTGCATATAGTATATAGTTGTTACCTAACTTACTGTACTGGCCTCACGTCTGTTTCCGGTACCCCTGCCGTTAGTTTTGCCTACACACCTTGGCACCTGCTATAGCAAACCGAACGAGTATGATGTGCAAGTAACTTGAGATTAATAACAATTGAAAACGCAATGAATCAATAACTCATTATGGGCTGCATACCTGTACGGGTCGGCAATTGCGGGGAGCATCAGCAACTGCCACCCGATTTGTACCTGCAGGTTCGTGCACCGACAGGACCCGGCAGCTTACCACGCGGCCCTCCGCGCGAAGGGACTGCAGGATGTTCATCCGACCCAGACCAAGGCCTTCTCCTTCGGGCCGCGGCGCTCCGACAACACGATATGGAAGTCCGTAGCTGCCAGCCACCCGGCCTGGCCGCCCCCGGCCCCCGGTTCGGTGCACAGCATAACCGCGGGCTCTACAGGCTATGCACCAACGGCATATACGTCCCAAGTGGTGTGTAAATGCCGTAGGCTTTACCTGACGCTGCCGTCGAGGGTGGCACCGTCGTACTGTGATATGAATTAGGCAGCTAGCTCAACCTCGTCCGAACTCCAGCTGAAAGCCCTCTGCTTGCTGCACTGACCGCCACTCCCCCTCGGCCTCCTCTCTCCAGGCCACCAGCATGGGCCGCTTTTCCCGAATGCTCCGTACCTGGCTGAGACCGCATTTCCTGGATCCAAATTTTCAAGGCCAAGCCCAGGAGAGGTGGGCTAGGGGTGGTGTTTGTGGAGGGAAGTGCTCAAGTTTGGATGGTCACGTGGATCAAAACATGCTTCCCTAGGGGTAAAGCGGGATTAGGGTTTTAGGGTTTGTTCGGGAGCTTTTAAGCTTCACAGCACATGGCCGGTTATTATGCGGCTTAATGGTGACAGCCCTGAGACATCTTCGGAACTGAACAGATGCTGTTCAATTTTTCCCTTCAGGTATATCCGCTTCCTGGAGCTGCACCGTCAGCACCCGGAGGTGACTCTGGTCCCCACTGCCGACATTGCGCTGATGTGGCACACACACCTGGGGATGAGCAAGGAATACGCCGAGGCCTGTGAGAAGTTGTTTGGGGCGGAGGCGGCGCCCTGGCGGCCCGATTACCTGGACCTGGGCGACCCGGCAAAGCTGGCTGGGATGTACAGCGAAACAGCCCAGCTGTACCAGGAGAAGTACGGTAAGAGCTTGTCATACGTACCTTGTGGATTGCTTGAGATGTTGAGAACCAGCAGGGCAGAGGGACGTCTGCCGCTCCTCATGCTTCGTGATAAATGGATGAATGATTATAATGCTGTTACAGTTGAGTTCCCCATAGATTCCCCGGTGCGTGTGGATCCTCTCAACCAACACATTCTAGGGGCCGCTGTGCTGAAGCCCGTGATGGTCATGGGAGGTCACGATGGTAAAAGGCCTTTATGGCCGCATCCACCAAGATAGGTTTTCACCCGCTTCAGCGGCTTTGACAAGTGACACTTGGGTCATGCAGCGTTATTGCCAATCCACTTTACGCAGCGTAAAGCAAACCGGCTCATATCCGCTTAATGATTTTGCTGGTTAGCTAGATGGATAGGGATTTCGGGTGGTTGGATGTACGTTTATGACCTAGCGGCGATCACGGCTTCACCGTACCGTTGTCGCTTCTGTGGTCAGTAAACCCGCTGAAGCCTGTGGAAATTCCTCTACCTTAGGTAAAGGCATAACAGCCTAAGCACCGTGCGTGTCAAGAGAAGTCAATCTAACCTTTCCAGATCCCAACATCCTCGCCCCTGTCAGGTGAGCCGTACGACGGCCCCGACACTGCCTGGCTGGCGGACTCGGTGCCGTACCCGCTGGTGACGTCCGCCAACCCGCTGGCCTACGCGCTGCGGGTTTTTGACGACAATCCGCAGCAGGCGGAGCAGCAGACGGCCATTGGCCTCGCCTGCCGGGCCGCCGGTCTGCCTGCGCCCCAGCCCGGTGCGCCCGTGGTTCGCAGTGGGGCTCATGCGCTGTACTTGACGTGGCTGGCGGCCAGGAGGGCGGAGGCGGCGTACGATAGCCTGACTTGTAACGGGTGCTGCATGACGAGAAACAAAACGGTCCATATGCAAACGTTGCGGTGAGTTGAAACGGCTTCTTTTGCAGTCCCTGCGATAGTGCTTTCTGTTAAGTACGCCGCTGCTGTCGTCGAGGAGTTATGTCGCGTCGTTTAACGCTCTGATATGTGGGTCCATATGTAAATGTGACGTAGCTTGCTAATCGTTAATAGGTGTGTGCTTGCTGCTTACGAGCCGCCATGACCCGACAGGTGCCCGACATGTGGGCCCCATGCAGAGGGGTCCCTCCATACCTACCTAACTACCTACCTAAATACCTAACTACCTACCTATCCCCAAATGCCTCCAGTGGTTTCGTTTTCGCCTTAGATTGGCCGCTCCTCCCCTTCCCCTCAACCCCTCCCTCCCTTCCCCTCGCCCCCTCGCTCCCTTCCCCTCAACCCCTCTCTCCCTCTCCCTCTCTCCCGCCTTGACTATCCCTCCCTCCCTCCCACATGCACGTGTACGGCTCCAGGGACGTCAACTCCGCACTTGTGTCCGTGGCCTACTTCCTGGAGCTGCCGGACATTGACACGGTGGGCGGGTGTTGTACGACTGGGTCTAGCAAGTTGTTGTTTATGCATCATGAATCATGGTATATCTCATGAGGAGCTAAAGCTCGGCATTTCCAAAGACCCGAAGCTCCTAAACCCGGCTTTTAAGTCAGAGCTGTCCAAATGCTGGTCCAGGTCGCCCTGGGGCAGAGCCATCCATTCTACGCACTTCCCATCCACATCCAACTCTGGATTAAGTGGACACTATTTACGCTACCTTCTAAATTACTTTACTGTCGTGGTTCGCATTAGAAGCTTGCGTAACTCAAAAAGTTCCTAACTATAGGCAGCTTGCGTTAATTCACACAGTTTTGAAATCTGTCCTTCAAACCTCGTCCGTCTGCCCGTTGGCCTTATAACTTCTCACGCGAACACCAGATCCTTGGCTCCTATCATCTATTGTTGTTGTTGTCGACAACAGTTGGACCGTACCCTGTCGCGCTGCCTTTGATGCCTGCCCATTCCTTCCTACGCCTCCTCTCTGCATGCACATCTTCTTTCATTACCGTCTACACATTCCCCTCCCCATGACCGTCTACCATCCTTCCCACTTGCTGCATACCCTATTCTTCTTCCTACCAATCACCCGCAGCATCCCTACCTCTTGGCAATCACTGCGGGCGACAAGAAGTGGTCACCGAGCCCTCTGGCGGCACCGGGTAGGCCGAAGGATTCCAGGGTTGACCGCTCCGAGGTGGAGGTGGTGCCAGGAGGGAAGGGGGTCGGAACTGCATCTGCTGGTCTTCTTGCTACGGGGCCATCCCGAGCAGGAATGGGAGGCGATGAGGAGAGGGGATGAAGAGGATTCTAATGTCGCCAACTGCTCCCTGATCGATAGTTAGTGAAGTAGCTAGTAGCCATCAACCATCTCGCCCCGCTTGAGTATCCAAACGCCGCCACGTCAAATTGCCTACCCCTTCACACACATCCGGCACCAGCGGTGGCGGCTTTCAAGCCATCTGACCCGGCGCACTACCTACGCGGTCGGGAGTCGTACCTCCTTCAAGGCCTTCCGTTGCTGCTGGCTGCAACGAAGCGGCCACCGCCCACGACGGCGGAGATATCCGTACAAGAACCGACGTCGTACGAGTCGGAACCTCCGCTTTGGCAAATACTCAAACCGGAGGATATGCGAACCACGGCCGGAGACGTTTGCACGTCAGCCTGGATGGTCTCCGCCAACAGCGGCGTGGGCGTTATGAAGCACGCTTTTCAGACTCGGCGCCATAGGCACGAGGGCTGCTCTTTGTCTGGACCTTGTGACTATTATAGCGTGGCTGATCTCACGTATGTGGACACATATAGCTATGGCGCTGGTGGCAGGTGTGATGGTGGCGGCGGCAGTTGCGGCGGTGGTGGTGGCGGGGGCGGTTGCGGCGGTGGTGGTGGCGGCGGCGGTTGCGGCGGTGGTGGTGGCGGCGGCGGTTGCGGCGGTGGTGGTGGCGGCGGCGGTTGCGGCGGTGGTGGTGGCGGCAGCAGTTGCGGCGGCGGTGGTGGTGGCAGCAGTTGCGGCGGCGGTGGTGGCGGCAGCAGTTGCGGCGGTGGAGGCAGCTAAGTACTAAATTCCACCCCTTGGTGGAACTCAAGGATACCGCTCCGGCCATCATCACCCCGTTGTGAAGGGTTACAATCTCAGCAGAAGATCGGACGAACCTGTTTCACGGCTTGCTTTCACACGCGTCTATGAACTTACGTCCTATGTTGGCTTGTGACATGGATTGACTTGTTTCCGGACGTTTGTTGTTGTCGGCCTCTTGGAGGTTTGTGATGAAGGTCCGTGAACACCCCTTGAAGGTGTTTGTTTGCTGCGCACTCCCGAGCCCTCAGCATATGTATATGTAGGTGATCGCGAATTGCGAGACGTTTTGAGGCCGGAATGCATTCTCTGTATAATGACATGGTTAACAGACATTCTAGCTGTCTGTCGGTTGGCTGAGCTTTTGCTCAGAGCAAGGCGGTGCAGCACGAGGCTCGGCGCAGTTTTGTACGTGTGGGCGCAGCCGAGGACAGGTATTAAATAACTGCCACTCCATTTTGCCCCCGCAAATTTCACCCCTCTCTTTCTTTACGTTTTGGGTTTTGTTGCTGTACGCTTCTTGTTGCGATGCGATGCGATGCACATCCTGATTATTATCTTTGCTGTGTGCTGTCGGTCTTCCCGAGCTCTCGCCTCGGGACCACTAGGTGTATGTTAGGCCGCCAGGCTAGGTGTATGTCAGGCCGCCAGGCGGCAACCGGGGTGGTGGTGCTCCTCAGACCAACTCTGGGCCCCCACACAATTCTGGAACATACCTACATTTTAGCTTGTCCATTCTAATTCATTTGACGCTTAATAACCGGTTAGAGGTTAACGCTCCGCACGAGTTCCCATCAACCCACCACTTCATTATATAAGAGCCGCGTTCTCATGAGCGAATGATTGACCTCATGACAATGGGGATCTGAACGAGCATCTTCTGGTGTGCATGCGCTGTGCCTGTGGCAGTGGAGGACTCTGCTTAGGCCAGCATCTATAGCAGCATCTAGGGACTGCAGGTCCGTGCTGAAGGGGGCATGCATGAAGACTTGGAGGAGAAGGGGCCTCGGGAACGCGTACGAGCGACGAGCGCCCTGGCGATGGGCAGAGCACGGAGAAGTAGGAGTCCTCCTCTTTTAGAGTGTCGCAATGGCTGTGTCTGTTACGTCCTGGCACGTTCCGGAGAGAAGAGCACGTCCTGGTGGTAAATCCTTTGATACCGGTTATTAACTGTTCAGTCAATCAAATCGCGCACCGGTGTCTCTACCACGCGCCTCTTTGTAGAACGGCCAGTAGACAGATGCTGGGTTTGTACGGCAATGTACACTGGAATGTACGGCAATTCATTAGGGGACTATGCATTTGTCATGATCGTCATCCGCTATTGTAGTGATCATCATCACTCACAGAAGCCTAGAAATAGTCATAAATCACTACGTGAATGCCTGCTTGCAAGGTATGTTAACTTTGAAAAGGCATGGTGGCTGTACAGTGACCATTGAATGTGGAATGACAGTTAATACTGACACAATTACCCATCGACACAGTGAATTTTCTAAAAGCAGCATGAACGCAACCGCCTTTGCAGCAACTACTATGACGACGATCACGAATCACGACCACCACCACCACCACTACGGTGCTGGGCCCCGCTACCATAAGCGTTTACTGAGCCAAGCTAGGAGGTTCGCGGGTACAAGCCGTGAGAGTGTAATATGCCTATGGTTCAACCTTGGGGCCGTGCTGCAGCCGTATTGTGTGCGCCCATGAAGCTTGCAAGCCGCCGTGTTGCAGTCATGCGTGTGGGTGGGTGGGGGACGGGGGGGGGCCGAGACGAACCACGAGCGAGTGAAGGGGGGAGCCGGGTGTGTAAGGAGGTTCGTGTATACGTTTCTTCTCAGCATGTGGCCCCGATATAAATACAGCAGACGGATTACTTCACATGCTGCTGGCGCCCGCGCGCAGCTTTTTATGACCTTTCTTCATTTGCTCTTATGCCGACTTGCTATGCCATTCCCAAACACACACACGCACACACACAGATCTGCACATTCTACCTACATCTCATATTGCTCTGCTCCTTTCAAGAGCTAACCCTGCCTGACAGGTTTCACACCGGAGTTTCACAGCCATTTTTCAGATTCAAGATACAAGAAGAAAACTCGACACGGCGGTTGGAGCAAAACCGCCGCGGAAGCAAAAACAATGAGTGGCATATGTTGAGTGCTGGAGCTTTCACGTCAGCATTACGATGCATAACCTGGAAATCACACCTCGGCAGATGTATCACTCACTACCTGCCGCCAGACCACTACCTGCAGAAAGACTTCGCGGCTCCTGAGGTCAACAATATCTAGACTATACGAGCCTGCTGAAAACCTCCCCCGAGAAAAAAATAAAGCCGAGAAAACGACGGAAACACAGAAATACATTAAAAGACGATGGAACCCGATGGAAACCTAACACTTACATACATACGACAGTGCAGGGACAGATGATATACAGGGAATACAAACGTCCTTAATTCTTCAATTCTTATACATTTATACAGGTACCACCTTCTTCGAAGCTGCCGACTGCCGACGTTCGGTGTCTGTGCCGTACACGTAATGAAGAACAGCATCTCCCCTTGGCCGCTGCAACACGCGCTGCCGGCAAAACCTCCTGGCCTGGCGATGCCGGCGGCAGATGGCACGCAACCGCTATGCTAGCTGCCGTGTCCGCTATAGCCCCCCGGTGGCGCCGGCGCCACCGGTATCGTCACCTTCCGGGTTGAGTGCGGCGGCGGCGAAACCTGTCCCGTGGGTCAGTATGCTTGACGCAAAGCTGCACGCGGTGCCGTCGCTGATGGCGTCAGCCGTGCTGACACCGCAGGTAGTGGTGGTGGTGGTGGTGGTGCACTCGCCAGCCACGTACCCATCAGGAGCAGCGGCAATAGCATCCTCCATAAGAGCAACAAACGTTTGCGCGGGCGCCCTCGCATTCGCACTCAACGCCATGAGTGCATCAACTCGCACTGACGACGACGGCGGCTGCGGCGGCAGCGCCGCCGCCGCCGCTGCCGCCGCCGCCACGGCCGCCGCGCGCTCGGCTGCCGCCGCATCCCTAGCTGCCTTGCGCGCCTTAAATGCTTCCTGCAGTGATTGCGATGCCGGTGGCGGGCCGACCAGGTTCCCGCCACATGCACTGTCACCGTGGCCGCCTGACCTCCGCGCCGTGGGCGCCTCTACGGCAGCAGGCGCCGCAGCGGCGCCATCGCCGCCGCCGGCGCCCGTCGGCGATAACAAGGCAGCGCCTCCGCAGGTGCTGCCTTTGCCGCTGCTGTTGTTACTTATGGTGGTGGTGGTGGTGGTGGTGGTGGTTATGGCGCTGTTGCTGCCTGCCGCTGAGGATCGCTTGGATCGCAGATTGCCTCCCAACAGGCGGCTCACGTCCTACAGGGGTCGTGGCCATGAAACGAGCATGAAGGACGGACGGGGCCACGGGCTGCTCACGAAAGGAAACAGCACAAAGACGCCGGCGGCACGAGCGACACGACAAAGGCGCCGGCATAAAACAACACACACGCGCAGGGCTTGTGTGTTGGCCCCCCGTCGTGACTGAGAGGCTAAGAGCAGGAACCGCAAACTGGAGCGGTGCTTTCCCTCCTCAGGCTGTGAAAGGGTGGAAAAAGCTGCATGGCAGGCAGACACAGCCGCTCGCCATCTTCGTTACACGGTTCATCCCGTACTAATGCTTGTGTCGTACCTTCAGGTGCGCATCCCACGCCTCCGTCCAGCTCCTTGCCCGCAGCACGGGCCAATGCTGCCGCTGAAATTCGTAAACCTGTGTAAACGGCATATCGAGTAACGTAAACCCTACATGACGTAACCAGCGGCGCCCGAGCGTGTGTGAAGTACATATGCTCCATAGCCTCCACAAGTGTTCACATGCACTTGTTCACAACCCTAAATCGCGCGAACCGTAACCCATACGACATGGAGGATGTACGACACACCGTGTGTCAGCGTCAACATCAACGCACGGCGGCGAGAACCCACCATGTGCTGATACGCCACCCAGCCCCCAAAGGAGCCTTTCGGCCACCCTGGACCGCAGCAACGACCTAGCCAGTCAGCCACGCCAGCTCGGCAGTACCTGATGATGAACCTTTAGTCCCCCCAGGTCGCCCCCCACTCCTCCCTACCCCACCAGTTTGAGGCTGTTGTGCGACTCGGCTGGCCACAGACGGTCCTTGTCTGGCGGCAGCGGCGGCGCGGCCCTCCCCTCCAGCAGGGTCCGCACACAGGCGGCGGCGCACCAGGAGGTCACCCTGGGGTTGGGATGTGGAGGAAGAGGGGCAGTGGGGGAGAGAAGGGGAGAGGAGGGGAGAGGAGGGGAGAGAAGGGGAGAGGAGGGGAGAGGAGGGGAGAGAAGGGGAGAGGAGGGGAGAGGAGGGGAGAGGAGGGGAGAGGAGGGGAGAGGAGGGGAGAGAAGGGGAGAGAAGGGGAGAGAAGGGGAGAGAAGGGGAGAGATGGGGAGAGAAGGGGAGAGAAGGGGAGGGTAGGGGAGGTAAGGGAAAATGGCAGTAATAATAGTGAAGAAGGGGGGGTTGGAATTCGCGACAAGGGAAAATGCGGGAGAAAGGGGGTGGTGTTGGCGAGTTCCACTCTATATGCGTGGACGGGGCAGAAGGGGAGGACGCATGGCCACACATTACTGCATCCATCCATCCATACACCCATATATCCATATAAACATCCATATGAACATCCATATGAATATCCATCCGTCCATCCATCCATCCATCCATCCATCCATCCATACTAGAAAACAAAAAAGCAGACGGATGCCGACGGACCAACCTGTTGTTGTATCCCCCCTCCAGAGCCAGCACCAGCTTGCCGCCAGCGAACCGCAGCAGCCGCTCCGTCATCCAGCCGTAGCCCTCCGGGGAGACCTGCCTCCGAGGCCCCGGGCGGGGGGAAGCGCAATACCACATAAATGTACAAAAGACATTTTGATGATATCCATATATTTCAGACAGCCCTAGCCCCCTACAGGGCTCCAGGTATGGGCCCCAGGTTACAGCTTTGGAGAGTAACGCAACTCCAGGTGTAACATACACACATACATACACGCACACATACACTGCCTAAATCCAAAGAGCCCAGTGGGATGGGTTCAGATCGGCAGACAAGCATACAGGCATGCAGACAGGCAGGCGAGCAGACAGCCAGGTAGGCAAGCAGGTAGGCAAGCAGAGGGAGATAGGGAAGCAACCTCCCCCTCCCTCCCTCCCCCTCCCGGTCCGTCCGCCCCACCTTGCACGCCCCTAGAGGGTCCCCGTCCGCGGCGTCAAAGCCCGCAGCCACAATCACCAGGTCGGGCTGGTACGACTCCAGGAGGGGCTCCACGATAAGAGAAAAAGCAGCCTGGAATTGACCCGGGTTTCGGAGCGTGTGTGTGTGTATGTGTGTGTGTGTGAGACAGAGAGAGAGATGAACACGACGTCCAAAAATGCTCAGTTGGCAGTGGCCCGGCCCAGACAAGGAAGAGGAAGAGGAAGAGGAGAAGGACAAGCGCCAGGCCAAGGTAGAGCGTGGCGATAGTTTTATGCGTAATATGCGCAACAGGATAACGAGTAAGAGGAGATGGGATGGCGGCGGACGGCGTCTCATCCCATCCCATACGGCGTCCAATATGGCGTTTTATAACCCCTCTCCCGACGAGCCCTCTATCCCCGCTTATAGCCCTACTGCCCAAGCCTGCGACCCCCCTCCCAAGCCTTCCCTCCCCCCTCCTTTGCAACCGCCAACCCCTTCACTCCTCCTCCACGCGCCCCTCCTCTCTGCCCACCAGCCCCGCCAACCCCTTCACTCCTCCTCCACGCGCCCCTCCTCTCTGCCCACCAGCCCCGCCAACCCCTTCACGCCTCCTCCACGCGCCCCTCTTCCCTGCCCACCAGCCCCGCCAACCCCTTCACTCCTCCTCCACACGCCCCTCCTCTCTGCCGCCGCCCTCCGCTCACCCGGTAGTCCCCGTCCCCCATGCCCTTCTTGAGCCACGGCACGTTCACGTTGAAGCCGGTACCGGATCCCTCCCCCGCCTCCCCGAGGAAACCAGACGTGTAGGGGTAGAAGCGCTTTGGGTCGCGGTGGATGGAGATGTACAGCGCATCCGGGCGCTGGAGTAGCATGTTCTGTTGTCGGTTGGGAGTTGTCGGTTGATGGGGGTTGGGTATCCGTTGGACGTGGGAAGGGACACATTGAGGCCACCAATCTGCGGGTGCTACTTACGCATGCTTATGCTAATGCGCACTGCTACGTTGGAGGGAGAAGCATTGCTTCCTTCGGGCTCACTATAGTAAATCAGTAAAAGGGTCTTCCATTTCCAATTCGACCATGGGATTTATATGGGCCATGGGGGTCGTGTGGGATCGTCACTAAAAAACACGCATCATACCCCCCCCCACACACACCCCGCGTTGGGCTCCGGGGAGTTGGGTCTAAGGGTTCCAGAGCTGAGCTGAATCCAACGCTTCTCTCTGAGTCGAACATCGAACGAGGACATTGAAACACCGCTTACAGCAGCAGGGCGGTAGAAACATCGCCCCCGTGGCCTCCGGACACCATCGGTAGTTTTGAAGATTTCAAAAACTTTACTTCATTTAGTTCGGGTCCTCGCGTCCTGGGTTTCCCTTACAGGGCCCTTCTTGGAGGGAGGCACAACCTAGCTCCGAAACCACGAACCCGCCCTCGTCACCCACCTGGATTCCGTTGCCGTGGTGCACGTCCCAGTCAAGCACAGCTACACGCCGTGTACCTGTACGGCGGAAACGACGGCGATGACAAGAACGCCATCACCCCCAAACAGCAGCGTCGCGTCACAGCGGCCGCGGCGGGGTTGGGGGCAGGATACGGGAATGCCAACGGCAATATGCTGCACCGAACTGCCTCCCAGAAAGTCGACTTGGTGGACGACGGGTGGAACCAAAAGGCACCCGAGTGCATGCGGGGCACGACAGCGCGAACCATAACTCCTTATCACAACGGGGCCCGTTCCGAAGCACCCCCACCCGATCCATCTCCCACACCTCTTTAGTGTTTCAGCTCCTTTTCACTCCAATCCCCGCCTGCCTGATTATGTGTTAAGGCCGGCTGGCATAAACCCCGACCCGGCCTAAACCGCCCTTCCCCGCCGCCCCTCACACCACCACTCCCCCCTTCCACTCCGTCGATGTCCTTTCAGTAACCAGCTCCCCAACCGCACCGGGGGTCTGCAACGCCGCCAGCGCCGCCACCGCCACATTGTTGAAGAAACAAAAGCCCATGGCCCGCTCGCACTCGGCGTGGTGACCCGGCGGACGCACCACCGCCAGGGCGCGGGCCACCTCCCCGGACAGCACCGACTGCACGGCCTGTGCAGGTGAGGGCGGGGGGAGGAGGGGAAGCAGCCGCACCGGTACCGGCAGTCGCACAGTCACACACACATACACACAGATACACACGCATGCGACGTGGGAGGCTAAAATTCTCAATGTCAGAATCACGCCAGGTTGGGGTCCCCCCCTGGAGCCTTCTGGTCTGATCTTAAAGCAGCCTACCTCCCTACCTTATCCAATATATGCGTTCCTAGTCCGGCGCATTGTCGCCATACCCTGACCGCCGTATGTCGTACACCGCACGTACCTGCACACAGCAACCCGCCGCGAACCGTGCCGCTCGTGCCGTTCCCCCGCAGACATACACGTCACCCATGCGCCCGTCGGCGTAGCAATACTCCGCATCCGCCAGCGTGTCGGGCCGTGAAGGGTAAAGCTCCGAAAACATGGAATCCACCTTGCATGAGGCGCGGCGTGGCGTGGCGTGGTGCGGCGAGGCGCAGCGACAGGGCTTCATTCATCTCACAGGTGTATGCCTCACTCACTGATGCTACTCATATGTTGGCATGTGTGATTCCTTTTGCGGTAAGTTACCGCCTCCTGGTCGGCGCCTGCTCACCTTGCGGATGTGGTCCTCGCTGTGCCCCAGCAGCAGCTCCTCGTCGGTCGCCTGTTATGGGGTGGAAGAGGGTCAGGTGGGACGAGGGAAGGGACTGGGCGGACTTGATCAGAAATGCAGGTACGTACGTGGAATGGGTTGAAGAAGAACAACAAAAAGTGGGATGTGGGTCAATCGGGGCAATGTGCGTGGGCGCGCGGATGCGTGTGTTGTGTGGGTGGGTGAATGCGTGGATGGGTGGGCAGTATAATCTAGGCTTGAGAGGCATAATCAGCGGTCTTGGGCAGGCCGCGCCTCGGAGGCAACGGGCATGAGGATGCGGGGGCTGCAAGACATGGTCGAAGAAATAGATCAAGCGAAAGAAGAAGAAGATGAAGATGAAGAAGAAGAAGAAGAAGAAGAAGGAAAAGGAGAAAACAAAGAAAGACAAAATAGAACGGAGATGGAAAGTGTCGAGAGAACGAAGAAGTTGAGGTGGGGACTGAGCCTGTGTCACACGGATCGTTCCGTTCGACATGCGAGTGCTGCCCCGGGCTGCAGCCCACCGGCTCAACCAGCCATTTGGGTCTTGCGCAAACTTTCGTCAAAGAATCGAACAAACAGTCGAAGTTTCCTTGCATACAATCTTGACCAACACCTTTCACTTTAAAATATTTTCAATTCCCAGCTGTACCCAGTACCCACTTGGCGCGGCACCAGCCGCCAGCAGCGCCCCAACAGTCCCTGCTCTTGGAGAGTGGCATACATCTGAATGATGCGGGAGGGTCGCTCGTAATGATCTGCGCGTGGGGAAAGATGGCAAGGTTGAGGCAAGGTGCGGCAGTACGGGTGAGTGGCGGCCACAGCGTACACAATACCATCCAGACGGGAGATGCCGACAGGGACAGTTGGCGAGATAAAACGGAAATACGATGGCAGAGAAGATCGTGGGGACATGCATGTCTATCTGTACGCCTCTTGCGTGTTAGCAGCCCAAGCGGTGGGCAGGCACGTGGTTCGGCGAGCAGCAGGAGCCATAACCCATTTCAGCACGTCTTGAAAAAAGGGTCAGTCAGGTAGGTAGATAGGTATGGGAGCAGGTGAGGTTGCATTCCCGAATGTTCAGCGCGAAATTGACCTGTTGGGAACCCGGGAAGGGCGTACGGCGCAGCGTTCAGCTTATGCACCCACCCGGTCCAAAATGCTGCTCCATGGATTGGTCATAGAGAAGCCCAACGCTTGCGTCATTTTCGGTAGGCGCACTTGGCGGCAGCGTCTCCTGCGGCCCAGCCCGGGTGCCATCGGACAGATGCAGCTCGCTGGGGAGACCAGCTGAGCTTTCCGATGAGCTAGAGCATTCATCGTCGCCTTGAAAGTCGTCATCTAACGCAGCCGCAGCCTGGGATTCGTCAGCCCCCACACTTAAGCGCTGCAGTTCAACGCCCAAGACTTCTATCGCGTCCGACTGTGTTAATTCGTCCTTTGACTGAGTCATGACCACGTTTGTTTCGGAAGGTAAATATTCAGAAGTTACGTCGCGGTCTGCAAGTGCCACCGGCGCGTGCGGGCCATGATAATTGCTAATTGTGCATCCCATATATAGTTTAGATACTACAGCAAGTCCATCCCTTGTACACCTTTATGGAAGCTAAGAATTTCTAACGTCAAGTCTACTCGAGCTTAGAGTCGGAACGTACGCTCCACGGTCTCTTCGTTAGACTGCGTCGTGCAAACCGCCATCCCGTACTTTTTCATATAGTTTTCGGCCCACAGTGCGAGACAAAGGAAGAGGCAACCATCTTGCCTGGAGATGAAGTGCATGATGTAACTTCTTCAAACCAACATGAGCTTGTAGCATGCACGCGTGCATGCTGCCTAGTGCTTGGCTAACGTGCCCTCGGCACATCTACCTTTCGAATGTGAACAGCGTGACATGGTGCAAGCTATGTGCAAGCTATGTTGACCTATTTATTCGGTACCTGCCATGGGGGTTCAGGTTCTTGTAGCTGTGCTACATCCTTAACTTCCAACCCTCGCCGTCCAAGGCACAACTCGGAACTGCCGAGGCCTCCTGACGCCTTACGTTTGCTGACTACATTTGCTGACCGAAGCATATATTGCCACAAATTCTCAAGACGCGTGCATGTCCCCCGGGCAGCCTCTATCCTCTCTCCTAAATGTGCAACCCCATCGCCCAGCTTAGATCCAGCAGGTGGTTTTGTGCGGTCCTTTATGATCGCTATGTCGTGCTGTCTGCGTACCGTTCCACAGCTTCAATCTTTTCGTTAGCGCGGTTGCAGCGATGCCGCGACGGAGATAGCGCCACAGCTCCTTAGTCGGGAGTACGAGCGGTGAGGTGAAACTCAGATGCAGCAATCCGTCGGTTGGGTAGGACGGAACAGAAGGGAGGCAATCGCTATCAACTTTACATCCTGGCATAGCATGGTGGGGTATGCCAACGCGCTTTTCTCTAACCTCCCAAATGCAGACGGGGCAAACGGGCCTGTAACCCCTTTTAGCCATGCTTTCAAAAAACACACGGCACACATCACATCACATCGCAGCTGAGCGCAAGCCCGGTGTCCCGATCATCGTAGCACGCTACTTCTCATGAAAGCCTTCGCAGCGCCGCCCCTCATGGACAGCAGGCTTGCCTAGAGACAAGCTAAGCAGAGACAAGCTAAGCCGCGCACGAAAAGGCTATGCCCCATAAATGGTCCATAACTTGCTCCTCAGAATATGATGCAAGCTACTTGCGTACACATCCTTGGGCCATGATGGGATGAAATCTCAAGATCAACTACCACGCAGCGTAATGGCCCCATACCACGAGCTGCATAGCCCTGTGACCGACCGATTAGTGCCGATGATGCTGCACCATTACGCAGCCTCTTGCCCACCCCCCTTTGGCGGGCGACCGGGGGTTTGGTGTAACCAAAGCGAGTCGGCCGCCCTGCTCCATGAGCAAAACGCCGCAACCCCTGGCTATGCGCTGTCCAGCCATCCGGCAAGCGAAACTGGGCCGTAGCTGCTTTACGCCTTATTGTCCAGCGCAGAGTCAAGCGCTCCGTACAGCTCCAGAGCTGCCCTGTTGGCAGCCTGGTCATACTCGTCGCCTTGGCCCTGAGCAGACGTGGCGGCAGCCAGAGCTGATTTGACCTGGGCTGGGTCGAATTGGTCTAGCGTACCGGCCTCCAGCGCACAGATGTCGGCAACACCGTTCGGGTGGACGAAGGCGAACCCGCCGCTGATAAAAAACTTCTCCGTATCAGGGCCGCTAGACAGCTCTACAATCCCAGGCCGCAGCTGAGCAATAATTGGAACGTGGTTGGCCTTAATGCCGAAGTAGCCATCAATGCCCGGCAGCGTCACACCGTCCTTCTTGGCACCATCAGAAAGGACGCTATGCGGAGTGTAGAAGTTGACAGGGAACAGATCTCCCTGGGTCTGCGGTTCCGTGCTGACGTTCGTGAAGTTGCTCGGCAACTCAGGCACTGCGAGCGTGGAAGGCGCCTTTTTGTTCCAGGCCTCAGCGAACTCCTTCGGGCCGGCCGGGATCACAGCCTCCTCCAGGCTCTTTGCTGACGTGCTGATGCTGCGCTGGCCCACGGCCAGAAGCCGCCTAGCTGCGTTGCGGAGCATTGTGTCGGCAATCAAAAGGTGCACGTCGCAACGCCCCTAGTTGGAAATGTTGTGGGGCCCGCAGTTCAACAACAATCAGCTATAAAATTATAATGTGAACAACCTGCATGAGTTTGGTGCCGGAAAGCCGTGCACAATGCTGTCGTGCTAAACGGCTCCATCTCATGATGATCAAACGCCGTGTATACGTCCGTGTATTTCTTAATAACCTGTCTTCATTTTAGCCATGACTGCGAACAGTTTCTGAGTCGACTTTTCAGCACTCGTTTACCCTGCTATCTCTCCAACCAGTCGATGGCTTTCAAATAATGCAATCGACACTGTGTGTTCACATAATGCAGTCGACCCTGTGTTTCAAATAATGCAATCGACCCCGCCGGTGTGTTTGTGCTCAATGGCGACCGCTGTTCTTGCTCCCGCGTAAACGATGCCCGGTATTTTATATGCAGAAGTTGTAATGGGCATCGCTTCGCTTAGGCCGACCCACCCCGTTTGCGAACACTATCCTTACAACCCTCCACAAAGGCACAACGGGCTACGGCACAGCGCCTCTTCACTGATGCGACTCCCCGCACGAGGCAAAAACCTGGAAGGGGGCAAAAAAGCACACACGCACCGCCGTATATGCAAGGATCTATGGAGCGATGTTTTCCCCGCACGGAATGTTAATGTGAAATAACGACCCACTGCTAAGTCCCCATGAAAACTTTGAAGCTCCACTCAGTCTTGACCCAATTCATCATTACCCGTGACCCCACCTATGATTTGAATGATGAGTGGGACAGGGGCCCATATCTTCACCCGTGGCCGCTACCTGGCGAAACCCTGCCTTCCCCGGTATTTCGGCGCACCCTCATCTAGTCACCCTAGTCAACTTCTCAGTGGATCGCTCAGGTTCCGCACCCACCACCAGCATCCAACGGAATCCGGGTCGACATCGGCTCAACTCCATTCCTGGTCGACCCGCAGGTTAACTTTATCCCAGGTCACTACCGTCCATCAGCTAGGGAGTCTTTACCTCCCACCAACGGAAGGACTTTCAACCCTGACAGGTCTCGATCTCGGGATCTCCCGGGGGCAATGGTCCGTGCCTTACCAGTAGTGCCTAACCTAAGCCAATGTTTGATTCACCGAATCGCCCGGAATGGTGCCCTCTTTTGCTTGCCTTACGCAGCATACCCGTCGCTTTGTGGCTACGCAAGGCAGGCAAGCCGCAAGCCGCCACGGGCTAAGGCTCGCCCCGTAACTCAGAGGAAAGGATGCCGCATTTCATCTCCCCGCGTCCACCAGATCATCTTCACAGCGGCTTCGTGCCTGCGTCAATTGAACTCTCCACATCCGGCCCGTCGGCTGTACCGCACTGATGACTTAGTATTTACAAGGGTTTCCTAAATTCCGCACAATGCGGGGTCCGTCTGTAAAAGCCGGAGGGGGGTAATACCATGGACGGTCGTGCACCCCCCTGCGCGTAGTCTCAACCCCCCACGCAATCACCCCAGGACCTCCACCCTGGGAAGTAAAGGCCGCTGACTGTATAGCAGGGGTCGAGACTCATAAGCTCAAAGAGCCTTGCTTACTGCATGCAGTATCGTGCATGTAAGCGTAGCGCTGACCAAGGTGGCCGCCGAAGGCCGAGAGCACCACATCGCACTATCGACGTCCATCGGTCGCTGGGTCGCTCGGCTGACGATGAACGCTTCCCGTGGATGCACGGGGAAATAGGCGCACAGCTGTGCAACATGGAGACGCGTAAAGAGGCAGGTGCGAGAAAATCACAGCTGCATAGCTTCGCTCCATCCTCTGCTTCTCACCGTCTGCTCTACGAGTACCCTGGCGTGGTTTCCCTACGTGCTACCGCTGAGTAACCACACCCCGTCCCCTTCCCACGGGTCTCTTCCCCTGCCCCTGCATGGCACAACAGTAAGCCCTCTTCCATGCCTTCTTCCCCCTTCCAGGAGCCGCCCTTTCCTTCCTTTCCTTCTCCTCCATTGAACACAACCACCTCACAACCACCTCATAACCACCTCTCACAGCAACGGACTGCGGTATCCCGGTCCTCACTCTGTCCGGGGGCTGCCCCATGAATACCTTCCCCTCCGATCCCCCTTTCCAGCCCCGCCACCCTCCTAATCAGACAGGCCCGCCAGTCCTCCCAGCCCCCTTAAGCCAGCACCCCCGGCAGCAGCGTCCAGTCCGAGGGGCTCACTGCCAGGTAAAGCACCCACAGCAAAAAGTTCGCCCAGCAGAACTTGCGCACCGGCGGCAGGTGCCGCGCCAGCACCCCATCCACCAGCTTGGCCGCCAGGAACACCCAGTAGAGGTACATGCGGTCGGCAGCTGCTAGGCCTAGAAGCACTGCCCACTTGGCCAGAGACAGCGTGTTGCGGGCCCAGCTGACCACAACCGCGGCAAAGAGAGCGGGCTTGAAGGTGTACAGCGCAGCTGAGGCGGCGGCCAAGACAGCCACGTACAGCGCACCGACAAACGCCTGGGGGTACGGACGGCAACAGCGAAATCATCATCAACAGCAGCAGCAGTAGCAGTAGCAGCACAAATGGGAAGCGGTGGGAATGGCGCAGTAAAACGTCGTGGCGAGTTTTATTTTAGTGGCTGCCTGAAAAGGCAGGGCACGACGGTATCAAAACGCCTGGGTGCAGGGAATCGGGTTGGAGAATAAGGGGGGTCCTTTCCACCCCTTCCGCCCTCCCTCCCTCCCTTCCTGGGCCCATCAGCGCGCACCTGCATGACTCGGTCGCTTGCCGAAATCTCAAACCGAGCTATGCCCCGGTGCAGCCAGTATGGCGGGTAGTCTGGATCAATGAAGGGCTGCAGAAAGCCAGGTCGTAGCACGGGGCCGCCGTTCTCCCACACGATGCGAGGCCACTCGCGACCGTAGTCCAGGTCCATCTCCACCGCCTAAGAAGATGGATTGGAGGCCGAATGCAGGTTATGGAGGGAGGGAGGGAGGGCGGGAGGGAGGGCGGGAGTAGGTAAGAGGGTTGCTGGCTGGGGTTGTGATGAAGAGATGGCGGAGGACGGGATTATGGGGAAGGGGGACAGGGATAACGATTAAGCTGGAGGAAGCTGGGGTTGGAGCAAAAAGGCATGCACAAGTCTCTCCGAAACAATACGACACCCTCCTCACTCGTTTTAGCACACGGGGCGTCCAGACTTGCTACATGAATTAGATTCCCCACGCCCTGAAACTAAACCTACGTAGTATTCCTCCTTGGAGAATGGAGAGAGGACGCGGGCCAGCGGGTTGCGGGGTCCGGTAGCCCCAAGCTCCGGCACGCGCAGGGGTGTCAAGCGCGTGCGCTGCGCGTAGGTGTTGCCGACCGTAAAGCTTCCCTCAGGAGCCGGCCCACGCCAGTAAGATTCCTTAGGATGGCTGAAGGTGGGGTCGAATTCCGCGTAGGGCCCGACGTCGGCAACGACGACATTTTCCGCGTTGGTGACAGTGGGCTCAGGTTTCTGTAGCAGCATCGGCTGCACAAAGTTGTACTCCGCGGGAATATTGGATTTGGATGGGTCAAAGGCAGTGTTGAAGTGCCGTGTCTGAGCCGAGTTGGCGGAGACTCGGCGCAGGTCGCGATGCGCCGTAAAGCGGTGACAGCCAAAAGGTGTCATCCGATAGCCACATGTTGCGTCTAATAATGTGCAATTATGACGTCCGATTGGAAGTGCACCCAGTCGAGAAGACGGATGAAGTGCAATTGGTCGCATCGATTGTGGCGGCGAGACGCCAACCCCGCCTTCAGCAACGTGCACACTAAGCAAAGGCCAAGATCCCCCGCTCACCATGGCCACATGGGCCATGGCTATGTGAGGGACTTCTTGAGTTCGTCGGTGGCGCCTGAAGCTCAACTAAATAGTCATAACACAGCAAACTTATAAATGATTTACAATATATTGCTAAGGCAAGGTGTTTGCAAGGCACATAATTTGCACATAATAGAGTGTCCGACAGCTGCATTAAGGAAGGAGCGCGTAGCGTGCGATCCCTGCGAAAACATTATTTGACAGGCCTTTTCAGTGACACCTCACGATGTTACAAGTCTGAGATAAAATTACATGAGAGAAACGACCCATGGACCCTTTCCTGAAATAAATTGGTAGGACCAAACCAGCTCACAGGTCTCTATGCTCATCTGTGTTTAGTTCATAAAAGGGACCAGCTTCAGATTCAGAAGTTTTGCCTGCTAAGAGCACGCGACAAGCCTAAGCGTGTAAGACGTGATTCCTTGTCAGCTTACCTGTTGCGGCCTCGTGCGGCAAGGCGTGCAAACCAAATCACGGAATCACAAAAAAACGGCATGATCCCTGGCGCGCAAAGGAGCCTGCCTGCCCACCCCCTATCGTAAATATGCCAAGAAGCAGCGCTGACGGCCCTTGAGAACCTTGTCACATAGCGTTAAGCACGAGCATAACTCGAGACCTTAGCAGCCGCTCCAGATGCCCACTCAACACCACGCACATACTGAGCACCATTTACAACTCCTACAGCGTCCCACGGAGGCCACTTTCCCTTAACAGTGTTCCTGTAACGTTATGGTTCGTTTGTCCTTTCCAGGCACACGTCAATGTTACACAGCGTCATACAGATCAACACAGAAAGAGCCGCAGAGCCAAAACAGGCAACGAGGCCAACAGTTGACGGCCGCTGTCAGCTAGTCAAACTCGCCCTGCTTGGGCGCAAGGTCCGTGGCCATAAAGCGCTCCTCCGGGAAGAACGACACCCGCACGGAGCGACCGGCAAAGAAGCGGCCCTGAGCGTGAAGATGATGGGCAGGGTTTGAAAACAGGGAGGCCACGAGAGATCAAGGTATCGAGAGATCGAGAGAAAGAGAGAGAGAGAGAGAGAGAGAGAGAGAGGGAGTTAGGTTAATACTGAGCACTGGGTGAATGGTAGCGCGGTTGCAACAGCATCAAATACGAACTTTCCTCGTTTTTGGCAGGAAATACAAAGCCGAAAAAACAAATACCGTTGGAAAAACTGAAGGAAGCAATCTCGGAGTGATTGTCGCGGGCTCCGAAGATTTGAATCGGCGGCGGCCGGCGATAGAAAATCATTTTACCCCCCCCCCCTCCGGCCCCCCACCCCGGGCTGTGTGCGACCTGAGGCCTCCTAAATGTTGTATGTTGCAGCAGTCGACCATCTAACCAACCGGATCACTTTCATAGACCGGCAGGTAGTAGTGCTATCCGCATAAACTCACTGAATATTACAACATTTGGATACATGGCGCATGAGATTGGTCACAGCGGCTGAGTACAAGTCAGTTTGGGACAACACTGCACCACGCGCACTACGCTGTGTGGGTGGTGTGGCCGTACATACAGACGCACCTGAAGGTCCACGGCGGCCTTGGTGGCGCTCTCCTGCCGCTCGAACTGCACAAAGATGCGAACAGCCTCCTCCTGCGGGCGGGGGCAACATACCGCACCCGCCAAGTGCAAGGAACATCAGGTGGATCGAGAACGGGTGAAAATGAAATAAGACCATGCTGCTGCTGCTGCTGCTGCAATAATGTGTGGGGTGGGGGAAACACGGCTTTCCCCTTGGGACAGCCAAGCCCATGCTGGGCCGCATTGTGCGTTGTGCGTGTGGCAAGAGATAAAACTCGTTCACCGGCCTTGGTATGGTATGAGGGAGGCGCGTGTGCTCCATGTGGGGTCTGCTCCTCTGGATATCCTTAGAATGTGTAAAGTTTTTAAAGTTCTTAAAGTTTTTAAAGCAAAAAAGGACGCATCGCTCATTTCAGGAGAGAAATTACAGCACACCAATCCAGTCTACATACCCAAGGCAGCAGATTCGTTCAGCCTCCTACTTGGTTGCTGCTGCTGGCAATACCAGTGCGCCATGGGTACCCGGGGGGGGAGCTCTGCCGCCCGTGCTTCCGAAACCCACCTCATTTCCCCACCCTCCCCCCCCATCACCGCTCCCCCGGAAAGCTCACCTCGACGTAGCCGGGAGTCGTAACCTCAAAGATCAACACGTCCAAGACCTTGCCGTACTTGGTCAGCTCCTGACCTACCTGTGTGATGTGTACGGCATATGTACGGAGGTGACGGACGGGGCATTCCCATTCCGTCATCAAGCATTACCTTCATACCCGAAGCATACTCACAGACATCCGAGCAGCATACACATAATCGCACACGCTTCCAGGCATACACGCCGAGCTAAGAACCCCCAATCCTTACTGCCCAAAGTAGCCCAACCCACCTCCTCCTCAAGCTCCTCATCCACTTGCCCTGGGCCCACCATATTGCGCATGCAGATGACGCGTGACGGGACGCCCGTCAGTACGGCACCTGTACGGAAAGGCACACAGGCACCGGGACCCCCAACCGCAACACCATTGGTCAAAGGGCTACATGGCGGCCCAACTCCTCCACTGATTTTTAATTGACTTAAACTTCCTCGACTTGAAGAATGGCGGCACCACAACGTAATTTTCAACTGTATTTTTACAACTCCCGTACGTACCTTTAAGTCGCTTGGCATCGGGCCCTTCTGATGATGCGAAGACCCCTGTGGCGGGCTTGTTGGGCGCGGGCGGTGCTTCCACAATGACGGCGGCGCGCTGGTTGGTCTTCTGAGCCACCAGCGGATTGGAAATACCCTACGGCGCCCCGGAGGTGTGAGGGGTGTGCGTGTGTGTGTATGTGTGTGTGATGTTGTGGCGGGGCACAGGCATAGGTGAGGTTGACCTGGCTTCGGTTGGTCGGTCGAGACATACATACACCGTCCCCTCCCCCCCTTTCACGTCATACACACACATATTCTACTTTCGCCGTGCGTTTTATTGACAGTGCCGTGATAATGATCCCTCCTCAGGCACGGAGCTACCCCTCCGCAGCGAAAAGGAATGCACGCCACCCTTCTCCTTCCCCCCCCTCCTCCTCCTCCTAGGCCCCAGGATTTGGGATCCTAATCAGCTGCCCAACCATGGCGGCGATTCCACATGGGAAACATGCGCGACAAAAGCAGCAGATCATGGCCGCGGCAGTGGCATGGTAAGGAATAGAGCGGATGCTAGAACACAGAAAGACCCATGAACAGCTAGCTCACCGCACATGTTCACAAATCATCATCATCATCATCATCATTATAGTAGTATAATATAATATAATATAATATAATATAATATAATATAATATAATATAATATAATATAATATAATATAAAAATATTATTATTATTACTTAATCAGATTATTCACATAGACCTATAGGACCTGGAGACCAGTGTTTAAAAAACTGTTCCATCGTGGTAAATTTTTAATGACCAAGTGGTTACTGCGGGGGTTTCCCTTTCTAGGTAAACACCTTACGAAAACATTTCCCCAGCGAGTATGCTGGACAGGTGCCAACTAGAACCATGCATACGAAGATCCAACTTCACAGCGCTCATTCACACGGCTTTGAACAGCCAAGGCGACGCTTATATTTTGGTTGTTTATTGACAGGGATATGTGTACAGAACGATTTGATTGGCCACTACCGGGGGGTATGTGGCCCCCAATTACTTGGCGACCACCTGGTTATATATAACACTGGCAGGTGACTCGAAACATTTCCTAGTGACACCACCTTCTGGAAGGGAATTATCTTCCTCAGTAACCACTTGGTCACCAGTAACCACTTTTAAAAAGACTGCAGGAGGCTGACCGGCCTACCTGCCGATTCTTGCCCAGGCCCTCTCCCTCGCGCCAGCCCATCTTTTCCAGCAGCTTCTGAGCCAGCGTCATGCCCTTGTTGGATCCCGCACCTGCTACCGAGCGAAGGAAGACGAGGCAGGGGAAGAGAAGGAGGAGGAGGAGGAGAAGAGGAGGATGGGTGGGTGCAAGGCAGGGTTCAGGGACGGGTGGAGATTCGAAATGCGGAGCGCTTGGAAGCGGCAGACAGGGTTTTCAGGCGGGGAGGAGAACAACAGAGGGAGGGGGAATCACGACAAGCTCAAGAAATCTCAACGACCAACGACTTCGTGGACCTATACGGCGCACTCAGGGGAGAAAAGGGGTGGGCGCCGTGAAATCACAACTCGCGTTATGAAAACAAAACATACACACACACTCATAGAAACCCAAGGTTGAAGTTCCACAGCGGGCCGCGGGCGCCTTTTTCACCTTCATCTCCGCCAGGGCCGCTGCTGCCGCCGCCGCCGCCGCCGCCAGCACCGGGCCCGCCAGGAGCTGTCGGCATTCGCCCCCGCCGCGCGAACGCGTCATCGCCCGTCATGCCCATTGCCGCGCGCCGTCGCTCGTACTCCTCCATTGACATCACGCCGCTGCCGCTGCCGCCGCCACCGGCGCTGCTGCCCGCCGCCGCCGCGCTGCGTGCGCGTTCCTCCTCCTGCGGTCCGTGCCCCGCATGCCCCCACGAGGACGTTTGAACAAGAAAGATACCCCAAGGATGGCTAAACCCTAATCATTAATAACCAATCATGCATAAACATCATCACCAGGAGGCTTTATTTCTTCCTATACGCATCCATATGTCTATAAATCATCATCACCATCGCTAAAACGTACAGTACGAATTGCCATCCAATCCCGTGAGCTCTACCCTCCCACCAATCCCGCAATCCCCTCTCCGTATCCGCCATATACACAATATTGACCCATGTCCCGCCCATGGATCTGGATCCAACCATTGCTGGACAAAGCTTGTCCACTGCTGTCAGTTTTCTCGTACCCCTTGACGCACCGGGGGTGTTGACGACCGGCCACATAGGCCGCGACATAGCCCGCAGCGCGCATGCCATTCTCTCGCTTAATGTGCAAGAAGGACTCAGTGACGTGAGTCACCGCCCCTTTCCGCCTCCGCAATAATTCGTCTTGCGTCTTCAGCCTCGACGTGCATCATCGGCACCATCGACATCAACCTTGTCAGTGTGTCGCTAAACAAAATGTTCCCTCGCTGCATGGTGTAGTAGGTCTCAACACATGCCTCCCTCCTCCCTTATTTCCACCCCCCCACAACGTACCTGCTTGCGCAGCCGCTCGGCCTCCGCTTCCATTTCCTTCAGCTTGGCGAGCCGCTCGGCCTCCGCCTCCGCAGCCTTGCGCGCCCGCTCCCGCGCCGCCATCACCTGCTCCCCGAGCCCGCCGCCGCGACAGATACATGAGAGAGAGAGAGAGAGAGAAAGAGATGGACGCATGAAGGGAAAAGCCGACCCCCAATCGTCGACCCAATTGAACCACGGGAACCTCCCGGATTGGGGAAAGCAACATCAATCCTCTAATTCAAAGGACCGGATGCAGACGTCCAAGTGCGCTTTGATAAATTTAGAAAAGGAGCGTCCCGCGCTGAGATAACCCCTGAAGCTCTGACACGGGTGCTGTTAAGGCCACCACCTAAGTGACAAGCTGGCCGCGCGGCGCGTTATTCACTTGTGGTCAGCAGTAAGGATGAGGTACATGAGGGTAGAGATGCACATTTCCCTCTCCTCCCTCCCCTCCCCTACCTCTTCCCTCTCCTCCCACCCCTCCTCCCCTCCCAGCAGCTTCACTCGTTCGTGGTTCCTCTTTCCCTCCCCTCCCTCCCTTCCCCCCGGCCCACAGGAAAAACACGTCACTACAGGTTGGATCCATGCATCTGGGGATGCATCTGGAGGTGTTCACCGCTACAGGAGGGGTTCGGCCCGAGTGCGCGGTGCTGTGCTGCCACAGCGCACGCAACAGCAGCAGCGGCGGTGGCAGTAGCATGCGTGGCTGTCATACCTCCTCGTAATCATTGGGTCGCATCGGGTCGTACTCGTCCTCAATGGTCCTCCCGTCACTACGAGTGAAGATGCTGCTGCTAGCGGCGGACGGCCCCGACGGCGCCACCGGCGTAGCCACAGGAGCAGTGGTTCCGGAGCTGACGCTCGCCGCTGCCACGGCGGCGGCCGATGCTGCCGCCGTACCGGATGGTGTCGTACCGCGACTTCCTGGAGTGGCGGCTCCGTCGGCGGCGGGGGGTGCTGGCGGACCATCGGCGATGATGGTGGGCGGTCCCCGGCCGCCGCTGCGGCCGGTGATGGGTATCCCTCTGTGACAGGGAGGAGGAGGAGCGGTGACAGGGAGGAGGAGGGAAAAGCAGTTAGCGGTGACAGTTAGCGGTGACAGTTAGCGGTGACAGTCGGCGGGGCTACCGCAAACGAAGCGAAACACACGTGCTGGGGACCAACCCCCCAGGGATACCAAGCCGGAGGCAGCCACCAAGAGGCATCAGCCACATGCGCGCGCTGCCGGGCGGCAGCAGGAAGAGGTATTTCCGCGTGTTTGCCAATGGATATGTGATTGGCGTTAGCAAGCAAGCAAGGGGGCATTTGGTCAGGGGGGAGAGAAGCAAGACTGGCGGTAGGAAAGCGGACCCGTGGAGTCGCAGGGGTGGGGCTAGGGGTGGGGCTAGAAGCGAAAGACTGTTACGTGGATAGCTGATGAAGACAGTTGGAGGCGCGTCTCCCGGACGCGCGTTGGCCTCTGCCGCCCCTACCTTGCCGGGCCGCCCCGCCCAGGACCGCTCCCAGCTCCCGTTGCAGCCGCGGCGCGGAGGACTGATGGTGGCGGCTTGTATGCCGGCACAGCGGGCTTTTTCAGGGACGGCGGAGGCATGAGCTTTGAGTCCAAGACCGACCACCCCGAGGCGGCACCAGCTGCGTCATTTGAGCTGTTCTTGGCTTGTGGAAGGTCCCCATATAAGCTCATCGCGTTAGGCTGCCCACGTCCGTGCCAGAGGAATCACAAAAAAGACTGTATCAACCACGTTCGAAACCCTTCCTTGCTAGAGTTAAGTTCTATAATGTCAACGGGTGAACAATTAAGTTACGAACAGAAAGGAGGTCTTTCGCCATGCGAGTCTAGACCAAAATAACGTACTGTGGACGTTTGACATACACAGCACAAGTTTGCAAAAGCGAAGGAGTGCAAGCTTCCCACTCCTTGCAGGCCGACAGTACAGCAGTCGATCTACCTTCCCATCGGCGCACGAAACGAGTGTTTAAGGCTACAAGCTACAAAGGTTAACACATTACCTTTTACTCTCACGGGTTACTGTACTTGGTTAGAATACCCCCTGTCGCTGTTAACAAGTTCGGCAGCTAAGTACCGCTTTTGAGGCAGCCGAAATTATGCAGGTCAGTCTATTAAAGTGATAACTATAGCATATTGTCGATGTATAGGAATAGCCCAAGACGGTGTGGCTCCGAGTGTCGGAGAGGCTCGTCCTGATGCGGTGCAACAGGCCGCCTCGCGGCCACAAGACATGCACAGTTGCAAGGATACGGTTTGTCTGACACCATCCCATCTCTCATGTCGTGTCGCTATCACGCGCAGCTTCACTCGGTGCCTGGCTTTCGGACGACACGGCCTGCCACTGCTGGTCGGCGGTCAACTGTGACATGCTCGTCTGCAAATGGTGCTGGTAAGGCAACCTGTTCTGCAGTGAGACGTGGTTTGCAAGGCTCGTTCGTCAACTATGATGTTGGGACTGGATGCTGCAGGTCTCGCATCACAAGTCCCAAGTCGCCCAGGCGGCGGCGCGGCTAGATTTTCATGTAAGTCCAGGAAGGGCTTTGTGCGAGGAGAGTCGCACGCCGACCTCCGGAGTTCTCCTTAAGGGACAGCCCGTACGACAGCTTAAAAAAAGCTTGCACGGCCTATCCACGGCCTATCCATAAACCTTAACTGCTCCTGCAAAACGCCTCGACATTAGAAACAACTACTGAACTGTGGGACACTACATTCTCATTTATTTTTGGCCGTAGATATCGTCCCACGTGTTTGCACTGTCCTCGTGTCTTCCCTCCTCCACTCCCCGCGGGACCTAGGTCCGCCGTACCTTTCGCAGCATATGGCATGCCAAATAGCTTCTCGGTAGCACGCCCAGCGTTTGTGGGTTCGGGAATTACAGTTATAATCTGGCGAGGTGTTAATGTTTTCGACCGTCTTTCCTTTTTCCAAACGAACCCTCGCGACCAAAAACTGCCCCCGCTCGAAATGCAGACAATTCGATTGATGAAATTCCCTCTGATGCGGAGGGTGATGTGCCTACGGTTGCGCTGAGGCCTTCTGGGGGCGCCTTCCGGTGAGATCTGGATTGGGTTGGTGCGATGTACGTGGGTCGGTGGGTCAGTGGCTTGGCATGTACGTGGGTCGGTGGGTCAGTGGCTTGGCATGTAGGTGGGTCGGTGGGTCAACGTGTTTTAGCGTTTAGTTGGTGGTGCTTCTCCGAGGAATGAACACGTCAGCACGTGGGCTGTCCGCCCTAGGGCTCCGAAACCAGCCGTTCTTATTCCTTTTGTTTGATCGTTGAGCTGATTTGTGGTGCTGTGCTCTGTGTTTGCATGTGCCGCCGCAGTGGCGTGCCCACGCAGACTCCCGGCACGGCAGGTGCCGTAGGCCTTCTGTCGTTCGGGCGGCCTGGCGGAGGCTGCACTCGCTTCAACCTGCCGCAGTCGTCATCGGTCGTCATCGCCAGTGGGCCCACATCGTCGAGTGAGTTGATGGCTAGCCGGGCTGAGCTTATCATCCGTCATCTGCATCCTCCCTCCTCGCTCGTTTCCTAGGAGTAATGTATTGGGTTCGCATGTGGTTCCGTAAGCGCCCGCGTCTCTGCAGCCATCCCCCACACACACACACAGCCTCTGCAACCTTCCTCTCTTAATTTCCATCGCCCCACCGCCCCTAATCCTTGACCTTGTCGGATCGCTACGCCTAGTGCCGTTTGCCGCCAACGCACTGGGGCCGTCTGGATCATTAAGGCCTTAACGACTTTCTCCCCCCAAGGTCCGACATGTGCCTTGCCCGGTCCCGTCCCGTCCTGAAAATTTGAATCGTCTGCGATGTGATGATGTGATGATGCGGGGCGCGCGTCTCCCAGTGGACGCCCCCTCGCGCTTCTCTCGCCCTGCTGGCGGCGCCGCCCGCATGTTCCCTAGCGGCCTAGGCCCCGGCGGCGGCAGCGGTCCGACCAGCGGCGACGGCGGCAGCGGCGGTGGCTCTGGCGGCGACTCAGGGGCCGGCGGCGGCGGCGGTGGCGGCAGCCCGGCGGACGAGCCGCTTGGTTTCTCGACCCTCGCCCCCTGGGCATTGCTGTACCTGGGCGTATGTGGGACTCTGTATTGGGCACACGAGTCCTTCATCCGAAGGAAGCCGGCCCCCGAGCCGGCGCCGGCGGCAGCGCCAGCGGCACCAGTCAAGAGCTGCTGCAAGAAGGCCGCCGCTGCTGCTGCGGCGGCGAAGGGCGGCAAGTAAAAAGGAAGAAGATTGCGTATGTAAGCGCCATGTCATCGTGCTAGCGCGACTGCGCTCGACCGGTTCTGTGCTATTTCGTTTTGTTTTTGATATTTAGTTCTCTGCTTCCAGGGGAGGAAAAAGAAGATGATGATTGGGCATGGAGAAGGCGCAGCCGGAGGGGTGTTATGTCGGAAGGGCCGGACTTGGGGCCTGTGCGGGCTTTTTGATATCTGCCGTTGTGCGCTTGTAACAGTGGAGGTTTGGATGGTTGGGATGCCGTGGGGTAAGGACCGGGAGCTGTGCGCTCCTTGGGGTGGGTCTCTGAAATGCACACCGTACGGATGGGCGCTGGTGACCTGGGCATAGGGCCCGGCTGGGCTAGGTGTGCAAGTCCATACGTTGTTCTGGAGGCGCCAGGTGCTCAGAACGATCAGGTAGCCATGGCATTGTGGTGCTGGTGTCTGGATAACGCAGGTGCTAGCGATCTTTGTGGTGATGGTACCGGTAATGGCGGTGATGGTGATGATGGTGGTAATGGTGGTGATGCAGCTTAACTAATGGCTTACAAGAATTGTTGGGCTGTTCCGGTGGCTTAAGACGACCGGAAGCGGTGCGTCTCTTGCATAGCGTGTAGGCCGAGCTTGTGGACGTGGTGGTAGTGGTGGTGATGGTGTCGCAGTGCCTGAGGGCTACTGGTGATGTTGGCTATCTGCATAGGATGTAAGGTGGTGTCCAATAAGTGGCGGCTGCATAGCGGCTGGGCTTCAAATCCTACACGCACCTGGCCGAGCAGCAAGGTGCATTCACTCGTTCCTGGATTGGTTGATAGGACCCGCGCGCCGGTCCAAACATGCCTGACCCTATTGCAACGGAGTAGGTTGTCCTGGCGTCGGGCATGTGCGGCGGCAAAGACATGATTAGCGAAAGGACCTCCGACCGCAGTCAGGGATTCTTACCATCAACTTGCTTTTCAGATGCTTGCTGTTTGTTCTGTCGTTTTGATATTACGCGTAGCTTTTGGGTTTCGACTGTTTTGATGTGGTGTGGTAGCTACGGTACAGCCATTTATAATTGGCTGTTACCCACGATGGGAAGGAAAAGTATCGCGACAGCGCGGTGGTCCCTGCTTTGGACGGCCCAATGGGAGCATTTTCCCCCCTAGACAGCCCAATAGGCCCTGTTCCCTGTTACCGGGCTGTTATGGGGCCCCTGTAACGGGGTAAGCAACCCTGTAACGGATCCATGGTCCCCATAATGGGGCCCCACTTGATGGGGCCCTCCATTACAGGCCCCTGACCTGTTACCAGGATTCGTTACAGGGGGCCCCTGTAACAGGCGGGCGCCATGTAATGTGCCCATGGTCACCGTAATGGGGCCCACTTTATTGTCATCGTTGTGCTCATAACAGACCCCTTCATTGTAAGTGCCTTGGATGGGGGGGCAGGATGGTGGGCACAAGCAAGCCAGAGTATGAGAAGTCAGGGAGCGCGAAAATGATGCTATAACTGCTATGAAAATCATCCTAAGGATGGCCATGTGAATGCGGAACTTTTTGTCAAAAATTCCCATTTTTAAATACACGTATCATGCTGCAACCAATGCTGTCCACTGCTGAAATGGGTCTACATGAAATACAGGTGCCTGTTGATGAATCAGAGCGCTCCAGTACACCCTGGTTGCTGGTGGCAGTGAACACCCCTGTGTCAAAACGTCACAAGCTTGGATACACATCCGTGCTTGGCATTGTGGGAGGCAACATGAAGCCCCCTGGTGCCAAGAAGGGTATCCCTATGGATCCAAATCATGTCTTGGTGCTCATAAAGGATGAAGTAGCCTTCCTTGAGGAGGTTGGAGTGGAGGTTCCCGACACATCACGGGATGGTGACATGTTTCGTTGCCATGTGACATTAGTGGGAGTTGTTTCAGACTACCGTGGCCTTCAAAGGCATCTGGGCATCAAGGCCTCACCGTCACCTTGGGGCTGCTTCAAGTGCTGGGAGGGGGGCCTAAAGTTGGGCCAAAAGACAGTATACACCGAGCACTTCAGGTTCCTCCCTGAAGGCAACCCACTTTGACAAGAACTGCAGCTTCGGTACCAGGAGCAG